CGGGGCTGCGCGGAGCCGGAACGCGCAACGCGGGCAGAACGCGGCGTACGTGGGGCAGCTCCGCGCCGGCGCCCCCCCAGCTTCTCCTCCTTTTCCTCTTCCTCCTCTCCCCGCACGGTAGAAACGTGCCAGCCCTTCCCCGCTTCCCCACCCAGTTCTGTCCTCGCGCTTCAGGCGCGTGCCCGCCCCGCTCGGCCCCTCGCAGCTGCGCCCGCTGATGAAGGCGGATCGGCGGCTGCCACGGAGCGCCGGACGCGCACGGAGCGGCGGCTGTAAACCACGCTGTGCGGCTGCCACGTGAAGCAACCGGTTACGTGCCTTATCCGCGCATAGACACCGCGCTCACTGTTAACTTCCTTTGAATGCATGATACGTAGCTTCTTCCACTGCTACTGGAAAACTTCAGGCGAGAGAGGGAAAAAAAGAAGAAAAAAAAAGCAGAAACAAGCAGACAAATCAGTGTGAAGAGGATGCACACAGCTGTAAAAAGTATCGAGACCTGCCCCTGCTCTCTGGGGTTCTGTGCAATCGGCCGCTAACCCTGCAGCTTCAGGACACACGGTGGAAGAAAGCAGCAAGGCAGAGCACAGCAAAAGCGCATGCATGCAGGTGGGATGGAGCTGCAGGTGCTCTGAGAGCAGGGATCCATCAAAAGGTTGAAGCACAGATCAGAGCTTACCTGTCACAGCAGGAACATCTGTGACAGAGCTCTGCTCGTCTGCACCATGCAGTCACTCAGAATTACTGAGGAGGAAACAAAGTGGTTGTAGAAGTTGTTTGGCTTTTGTAAAGAGGATGATAGATGACTTCAAGGTTAAGAAACAAATAAATACCATCATTTTACAGATTGTTTATCCAGTGTTCCATTTTTTCCTTACTGAACTTGACGTTAAAAACTCCCCCCCAGGGTACAATGGTTTATTTTGTTGGTTTTTTGTATATGTGTGCTGCAGTATTAGCTTGCCAGTGTAAAAAGCTGATACATTGCAACTTCCATCTCAATGTACAGGCATCTCTGAGCTTTCCTCCAGCCTCTGCCATCTGCAGCTGTGCACACGAACCTGACACTGACAGAGAAACACCAGTAACAGCTGTGCTGGGACAGAATTCTTTTCACACGTGCAGTAAAGAAAGTGCACTTTAATATGACAAAGAACATATTTACCTTTCTACACAAGTTTTTTTTTTTTTAAATCCACAATGTTGTGCTGTAATTATTTTTAGTTTTTCATAAGTGTCCAGTTTGCAATAAAGTGTATTTGGAAATGAAGTCTTCCACCTGATCTCCCTGTAACATCTTCATAGCTCGCCAGTGAATACTCCCAGAGTTTTCTGGTTTGCCCTGGGGATGACTTAGCTCCTCCTTGATATATTCCAGCCAGAGATCTTTAAAGGAAAAACATTCTAGTTAGATTTTAATTGAATATTTAGTAAACATACTAAACCTAACCTAGAAACCCTCTTTTTCTAAGTGTTCTTGATCTTAATGCAGTGTGATTTAGTTGGTCACACCTCTTCCTCCTGCTCCCTTGAGGTTCAAAAGCCTGGGTTCTGCTCCCAGCTGGAACACCGATATCTTAAGAAACAATGCAGCTCTTCAGCAGTAGCTTCCCATACCATCAGAGAAATTGAGCTATTTATTTTCTATTATAAAAACATGGCTCCATACTGTTCATAGATGTAAGTTAAAGGTGACAGGTATCTCCTATGCCTGCTAGTGTCAAAACTACTATTTGCTGGTAGTTCTGCTGAAGCTATCCTACTGTGAACAAAGGCCCCGGACCGAAAGCATGGGGTCACTGCAGAATGTCACGCACCAAAGATATCAGGTCCACTCTGCATGACAGCAATCATAACAGCAGAGCAAACAGCTACTTCCCTCCTCCCCCCCCCCAATGGAAATAAAAGAGGTAGCACCAAACTGGGGAGGGAGACGAAAATCTCCTTACCAGAATCCGCTGAACCAAACTCTCTCAAAGCACGTTCATAGTATTCTCTCAGATGAAGCATTTTGCACGATTCCTAACACAAGAAGGTATTTGTACAGAAGTGAGTCTGCAGCTTGATTACATTCTGACTAACTGAAAGTCATGGTAATACATACACACACACACGCATTGCCAAAGGTTACCATGAAACTTGCTTTTGTATTGTATACTATGAATCAACATCAGAAGGTAAATATTGATTACAAAAGACACTGCTCACAAGCCTTTAATTTCATATCAAAGTTAGAAGTGTATTTTACAAATACAAGGCAGTAATTTGATATTCAGCAACTTACTTGCTCCTTTTCTATCTCAATCATCTTCCTGAAGAAGTCAAGCGAAAGCGGACGACTTTCATGCAGGCTGAAGTAAAAAGAGAAATACCTTCAAACTTCATGCCATTTTTTCTTTACTATTTGCCCTAGAATAATAAGATTTGAAGTGGTTTTCTTGTTACCTGGTAAAGACTCTTCTTACTTTCTTATAACCACCATTCCTATAAGCCCAGTCAAGATACTTTTCTTTCATAGTCACAGATTCAGCAGGAGCTATGGCATGTAAGGACCTCTGCAAGTTTAAAACAAACCAAAAACTGCATAAGCTACAATTAAAAGGTTACAAGGATGAAGCAGCATCTTCTCTCTCATCAGACACTTGACACACATGGGATCTTGTGTGAGAAAGTAATAATAAAAGCATTCTAAATAATGTCTGAAAAACAGCTTTATGTAATAAAATCAATGTTAGTTGTAATCTAAAACATGTCTCCTTCAAAATTCCATGGCATTTCTGTACAGCTGACTTTTGAAAACAGCTTTACTTGGAATGCTTTGATATCAACACATCCATGAAGTATGCAGCAAAAGCTTTGTACTCCATCCTCACACATAGCTCCTGTTTACTTAAACATCACCATATGAAGATTTTTATTAGCCAAGCACCTGGTAGAGAGCTTCTGTGTCTTCCTTGCTATTTGCGACTTCACTCCATTCCACCCAGAGGGTCCATAACGGTAAAGTGCCCTACAAGATAAACACAGAAGTCAAATGATTGAAATACAGCAACTCACGAGTGATTTCAACGTAACTACCAAGTTCTACATTATTGTTTCTGTGAAAACTATCCTTAAGACACAGCTCTTAGAAAGAACTTTAGACTGCAGACTTCTTGTCTCCTTTCTAATTCATACAACAAATGCTACTTAGATGGACTGCTGCTAGATACGCTGCCAGGAATGAGAGAAAAATTCTTGTTCATCAGAGCACTGAAATACAGAGATAACTTCAAAGTACAGGAAGGAAAAGGAACAAATCAGCTTCTTGCTTCCTCTCATCACTCCTTGTAGCCCAGTTTGAAATGGAACAGCAAAAAAGCACATAAATAATTTAAAGCTTGAAATAAAATACCCCACGCACAACTTGTAATTCCTCAGTGCTCCTGAAAGCAATATGCAAGTGAAATAGACCTAAAAAGCAGCCAGGGAATATAAGAGCACTATGAAGGAAAAAAATCCTTTAAGTAGCAGAGGTTTTCCACCTGATGCATACATGTGAGTCCATAAAACCAGAACAAACCTTAGATTTCACATGCTTAAAGGCTTCTTCAAAACACTGGGTCACGTTGTCACTCTTCAACTGGATCAGCACCTGCAGCCTCATCTGCCACATTTCTACTGACAGGCTGAAACACTTAGTTGCAGCTTCTGCCACCTCTGCAGCCTTCTGAGAAAGGCTGGACTCCAATAACAGTTGAAGCTAAAAAACGGCAAAGAGCACAAGAAATGTGCAGTATTTTGTTAAAAACAACACCTTGAATACAGTAATGCCCACTTCGTTAATTACATAAAATGATAAAGGCAGGCATGCATCAATGCAGGACAGTCCACCAATCTATTTTTCTGTACCAACTCTTACCCACTGCTTATAGAGAGCTTCTGGCAGCAAACTGGACTCATGGGCTTTGCTGAATACACTCAGTGTCCTCTCCAGCCTCTAGACCAAAAAATGAGGAAAATAAGCATTATTCCTTCAAAAACAAGATCCTAGCATTACCAGAAACCCGGTGGAGTTGTATATCAAAATATTACTGAAATCTAATAAAATTTATAAACCTGATATTTTACATATTCCTATTATTTACAAGATAAAGGTGGAATTTGAGCATTTGAATTACACCTCTTCTTTGAGGAGCAAAAGAACAACATAGCAATGTATTAAAAGGGAACCAAGCCATACAGAACAACTACAAGTTTGCACTCAACTTCCATTCAAGGAGCACATAGCACTTTACTGACAAGCCTGATTTGTGCCTGAGGTATTCATGTTCAGGCAGCCCACATGTGTCTAGTGGTAACATGCCTTCCCTCAGACAGAGACTGTATGATTTTTAAGAGTTACTTGTCACTATTTCTGATAAAACATTCGAAGACTTTGTAATTTTTGAAAGATTACAAAAGCCTGTAAAAATAGGGTTGTTTTGGTACTATGATCTCCTAATGACCTTTTACCTTTTGCTTTAATTCTTCACTGTTGGTTTTCCTCTTACATCTCTCTAAGCAGAAAGTGACGTAGCATTTCCACATGTCCTCTGCAGAATCAAAGACATTCTGTTATGCTTCGTAGAATCACAACAGTAAGCACAAATGTTTGTCTTTACGGTAAGGAATAAAGCAATCCAAGCACCAAGTGTTAATGCCAACTTTTTCTTTTTAAATATACTAGAAAGGGGACCCTGCTTTAAAACATTAACGTTAAAAACTGCTTCCCAGTACAAGCTGCAATCAGTAATTCTTTCTAAAGAGCATTAAGCTCTTAGTTAAGCTGAGGCTTCAGAGCACACTGTCACAATTAATTTTCAGTGCACCCTTTTGCCCGTATTTCCAATGGGTCTGCAGAAGTGAGAACATTCACAAGCAATTGAGAAAATCTTCCATCTGCCAAACATGAAAGACTACGTAAGCAGCAGATTTGCATCCACTCCACAGTCTCTGTACAGACTCCTTTGAGAATAAAGGTAATACCAGATACTAGATACCCATCCATTGGCAATTCAAAAGCAATGCTTACTCACAGCTAACCAACAATATACTTCAGTTCAACACGTTTCCTTCATTTAGGAAATTTCATTTACAATTCCCAAGCCTCAGTCCTCCTGTATGCACACTTCTACTGTTAAATCACATTAATAAAAGTAAGCAACAAAAAATACTTTGAGTTAAGCAACTCTTTCAAGACCAAAAGTGCATTTGAAAATAACTTCAGTAACACACAAAGGAGATCCCCTAAATGGATCCAAAACCCAAAGCTTGCATCCTCCTTCAAAACTCTTACAGTACATAGTATGCTAAGATAGCAGGAAAAACTGATGTTAAAACGCAGACAGAATATTTCACCTGTGGGGACTGCTGTCACAGCCTCTTCAAAGACTGCACAGCAACGTTCCTCTCTCTGGGTCATTTCAGACACTTTCATCTGCTTTGTGGTGGGTTCTGTGGACTTCAAGGATCCCAGCTCCAGCTCTCGACGGGCCATGTAGTCCCACATCAGAGGATTATCAGCATATTCAGCCTGCAAACTAACATACTATATCTGTAATATCCATTTACTGCTTTTTGACAAATGTTTAAAAGGGTTGTCATACTGGTATAGAAATGTATGTAATTTCTAAGTAATCAGATACATGAGACACTTTACTTCACCACAAGAGAAAATACCAGGGTTTTTTGTTTTTGTTTGCTATTAGTATATTCTCCAATAATAGAGTGAACTAGAATGGCACATTTCCAGAGAGATCTTTCTTTTGAAAGAAGAAAAATTGGGGAAACTAAAGAAACAGAAGAACCACTGAGTAAAATAGTTCCTGCACTCAAGAAAACTAAACTTGGAATAATTCAGCAACAACTATATTTTACCTAAGTTAAGTGTTTCTTAGCAGGTTTTCAAAGCTAATAATGAAGTTCTTTCATGCATCCTTTTCGTAAGAATATACTTGCTTCAAATACATTTTCTTAGAAGTATTTCCCATACATCTTAACATTTTATTTCCATAGAGGAACAGACTTTAGTCATTAACCTCTCAACTCAGTACAAATTAGGAAAGTTAAGAGAGCACTTACTGAAAAAAGCTCTCACCTTTCAAGAATTTCTTTTTGCAAATCATGTGTAAAATCAAAAAGCTTTGCAATAGAAAGCAGAGCCAGACGGAACTCAACACCTACAGATCAAGAAGAAAAAAAATGTATCAAGTAGAATATCACATCCCATCACACACTTTGCATTTCTATATCCTTGACAGTCTTTTTCAAGACACAGATATTATTTAAGTGTCCAGACAGACACACTCTCCTGTAAGCCTCAGCATTCAACCCATATGGTAAGCCATATGTTAGGATGTTAACTGCCTGGCTACATGCTTCAAGATTTCATGCTAGACAGTGACAAAAAAAAAAAAAAAAGTCCTAAGGCAGGCGCATTGCAGGCTAAGAAATGGTAAACTAGTCCTGTCTACTGACATGCTTACACATCCTTCAAACTTGGTTCCACCCCCACCACTCACTCATTTAATTCTTTCACAAAAACACAGAATGGCTCTACACGAGTCAGGCCTATTGAAAACTGTACACACTAACTATCAATGAATTATAATCCATCTATCTTGTATCTTCCTAATTTATCCTTGAGAAAGCCAGGTGTCACACCTAAATGTGACAGTTTTCCCACCAAGTAAAAGAAATGTTAAATCACCTTTAATTTTCTGAACAGCATCCCTGTAGATTATGTGAGCCATTTCCCCATTAAGAATCTTCTCAGAATAATTGAATTCCTCCTGTAATATCAACATAGCATTGTTGCAAGTTTTCCTTTCTCAGCTATCGTTTTTGCAAACACAGAAAAATACCAGAAAATGATAGTTATTCTTCATCTAAATTTATCTTAACCTAGTTTTCACAAGCTAACTATAGTGAAATAATATTTCAATATTACTTTCCAGAAATGGCAACTAACTTCCAAACTGAGACATTAACAAAAGATTTTAGAAATGTCAAGAAAAATTGAAGTATTTAAATTCAGCATCAGCCAACACTTGGGAAGTTTAGCATAGCTACAGAGCATGAAAAACTCTCTAAGCAGTCCTCAACCGAATCATTAATAGAAACCCCTTGAAGTTCAACTTTAAAATGTGTGATACACAAGCAGATAGTATTTCAGAATAAATCTACACAACTTACCAAGTTCATCTTTGCTCGTTCAAGTTCTTTCTTTTCCTTTCTCTGTTTTTCTGCATTCATCAGTTCCATTCTGAAATACTGCAAGAAAGAAAATATAATTAAGTGATGGGAAGGGAGGGTGGATAAAGCATGAACATGTTAAGTTCACAAACACGAGGAAAAGCAAGCTCCGCCTGAGGAGCTACAGGACTTAGCCAACACATCACACACGTCTATGAGCCTCGGCTTTTAAAGATCTGTGCTTATAGGCACAAACGTCACACATTCAGAAATATCCACCTTCTAGTCATTCTTTAAACCAGATCGATCTGAGTTCTTGCCAGACTGATCTCAGAAATCTGTTGGACAGGTTTGCTCTGACTGCTCAAATAACTTCTCATGAGTAAACCACAAAGTTACCTCTTGGTAAAGTTTTGGACACTCTGGATGGAAGCGCAAAGCACGCAGGAACAAGTGCCTAGCACTTTCTGAGGAGAGGCGTGTTTCCATTTCCCACTTTGCTGCCATAATCCACAGTGCTGTAACAGAAGATATCAATTCATTTTAAGGCTAAGTAAGTGTCTGCTCATGAGAATCCATTCTGAAACTGTTCTCCAGGATGTTTCTGTTCACTGTACTTACCCCACATGCATGAGCTATGAAATACAACTGATGATCCCCAGAGTAAGACCAAGTTAAATAAGACTAAAAGCTAAGCAGATCCAGGAAGTTTAATCTGGCACTGCTACAGATCCAACAATGTAAAATTATGTCTTCAATTCCCAAAATCAGCCACTAGTATTTAATATCTGCCTCTGAAATGTTTATCTAGTCCCTAGTCTACCTGGGGAATGGTCATTCAAAGCAGTAGACTCCCACTTCACATCATCTTTTGATTGTTCAGCACAACCTGTCAGAGGCATCCTTTCTGATGAAGCAGCAAGGCAATAGCTTGAATTGGATTCTATAAGAACTCAAACCACCACTCTTCAACCTATACTGAGTTATATACACAGTGCTCAGCTTTGTTTTGTTTACCTGGTTTATTGGGATGAATGGCCAACATGGTAGAAAACACCTTACTAAGCTGATGTTTTGCATTCTGTAAAAGAAACAGCTTTGTTTTACCATCTGTAGTACCAAACTAAACCAAAGCACTGAAATTTCACTAAGAACACTTATTAGTTGCAATGCAATCATACTGGAAAAGATGTTTCTCTTCTACTTTAACTTTAGACCAAAGTTTTTGGCACTTATTCAGTATCAACCAGCTTTCAATTGTTACCAGACTGTACTAGCACAGTTAATTCTTCTGCACCTAGACAGCTAACACAGATGTTGCCTACATTACAAATTTCACTGACCACTTTTAAGGTAGACTGCATTTTTCTTCAGTCACTTTTATTACTGTGCTAAGATCATCTCCTTCAGTACAAGAAAGATAACAACTGGATGCTGGGAACAACATGAAGACTTGCACAGAGAACTTCAGAGAATACTAGACTGCCAGAATTACACTTTTCAGCACTATAAGAAACGTTTGAAATAAAAATCACAGTTCACAGGCAGGTGACTCATTCATTCCACAAAATGAATGAATACTCTCAAGCCAAAAGGTTATGTTATGATACTCATGTTGCAGTATAATCTGTTCCCCACCTTACAATACAAGTTTCAGATGCCTGCCTGACCAGCAACCCAGTATCTTCAATCAGTAAGAACAGGATTTTGAAAACTCACCCACTGCTTGCAAAATGCAACATGTGACAGCCAAAGCTGGACATCTTCCTAGTGGAAATGCAAGTGGGAGAGAATGAAACTTAGAACAAGTACTAAAGCATGCTTGTACATTGACAGACAAACAGTATGCACTTGGTATGTTCCCTTGACATGAAAAAAGGAGGAATTTTGATTCCCAAATTCACTTTTTTCAGATATCCACACTCCTACAAAACATCTGAAGAAAACCAACTCTCCATCCTAATATATACGCTCTTGCTGCCTCTGCAGTGAAATCTGTATTATGCTTGACTCAGTAGAGAACTCACTAAAACGATTTTTTATGTACCTCACATAGGTTTTACCACAAGAGCCATCAAGACAATCTCTGCCCAAAGTAAAGGAGAGTTCTTTTCATTTCTAGTCCTTGCAAGCAGATGCACAAAACTCACATGGCAACACATGGCTCAGGATAGATGACAAGTAACGATTCAGAAGATAAAATATTGTTTCTCTAAAAATAATAATAAAATCTGACATGAATGACCTACTTCTGTGACACTGCTAACTGTAAGACCAAATTTCTGCTTAGATTTTCTGTTACATTTCTCTGTATAACTAAAAATATTTGGTAGCAGGGATATCTAGGTTAATTTTTACATCACAACACACAAAAGATTATTTTCCAAGCTGCCACTACAAACAAAAGAAACAAAACTTACTTTCCATTTTCCAGTGGCACGTTTGAAGAGGCTGTGGACCCTATGCATAATAGAGCTTTCAATTTCCTCCTTCTTAAATGAGTACCCGGTGCGCTGGGAGAAAAAAAGTATTACTTTCATTAAGAAAATCTAGTGCATACTGATTGCACTTGCAGAAACTGACAAACGTACCGCTCTTCTTTTCTTGATCAGTTCCAGCAGATTAATTTCATACTAGAGCGAAGAGAAAAAACACATTTAAAGGCAAATGAAAAGATGTGTAATAGTAAAGAAAAAAATAACAACAACAAAGATGAAGTGTTTTACAGCTAGTCACACAGATAATAGAAGTTACATCCAGGAAACCACAAGCAACAATTCTGCAAGCAGATCACTACTTTTCTAAGGGTGACTAAAATTAAATTTTAGCATTTTTACTGCATGTGGCGTTTAAGCCTTAACCCACATATTCCTAGAATTTTAATGCATGTTCCAGATTCTTTACACCACAAAAAGTAATTTGCATGGAAAGACAACTTGCACAGCACGTCAGAAAACTGAAGTCTCTATATCCCCAGAGAGGAAAAGAACTACAGAAAAGAGTCCTTATGAGAATGAAGTTTCTCTTGCCCCCAAAAGCTCCACACTGCTCTCTAAGCTTCATGCCTAACCTGTGCTTGTAGAATCTTCCCAGCATGGTTTGGGTTAGAAGGGCCCTTAAGCTCCCCTAATACCACAGCCACCGTGGTGCCTCCCCCAGCTCAGGGCCCCGCCATGGCCTCGGGTACCTCTGGGCAGCGCCAGAGCCTCATCAACACCCGAATAAGCAATGTCTTTCAGATATTCGACCTAAACATAACCTCTTTTAGTTTAAAACCATTGCCTCGTATCCTAACAGATCACTCACAAGTAAACACTATCAGCAAAGCAAGGACACCCTCAAGCAGCAGGTTTCTTACACAGACAACTACGGAACTCCTAACAGAGAGGGATGTACGCGGTTAGTACCGCTAATCAGCACAGCCTACCTGAATATAATTGATAAAATCCTCCTTCCGAAGGGCTCTCCGCTGTATTTTGTACTCCAGAGCCGTGGCCTTCTTCAGGACAGCCCTGCAAGAAAGAAGACACGGAGACATCAGCACCGGGACCTCAGCACAGGGCCGCCCCCACCGGCCCGGGGGCCGCCCCACCTGATCTCCTCGTGCGTGAAGAGGCCGACCCGCTCCAGCTGCTCCAGCTCCGGCACGCGGTCCTCCAGCCGCTGCTCGACGCGCTCCGCCATGGCTGCGGCACCGCCAGACCCACGCGCACATCCACCTCCCCCCCACTTCCGCCCGCCGCCGCTGCCACTTCCGCCCGCCCCGCCCCGCCCCGCCGGAAAGCCCGCAGAGGCGGCACCGAGCGGCAGTAGGGCCGGCAACGGGAAAGGGACGCGACGCTGGAAGCGGTGCGCGGGTGGGGAGAGGCACGTGGGTATGGACGTGCTGAGGGCAGGAAGAAGAGACGAGCTTTCCCATTTCAGGAGCGGCAGAAGCGCTCGGTGCCGTGCCGGGCCCGTGCCTCCCGAAGGCTGAGCGGTGCGTGCCCGGCGGGGTTGTGCCAAGCACGGGGTTCCCCCCTCCTGCAGCCATCGTTCTTCTGAGTATGTCAGCATAATAAAACCAGGCACGGCGTGTTTGTTTCTTAGATGTTGGACATCCCAGGAAAACAACAAAATGAAGACAGAAGGGTGTTTTTTTATAAGCGAGTTGTTTTAAATACCTGCCATCAGTAGCGCTGCCCTTACGCTATGAGTTGTCACCTTCACAGCTGCGTTCTGCCTTGTTGCAGAGATTATTTCTCAAATGGATGAAAAAGCAGGAGGTGTTTGTCTGAAAAGGCAAGCAGAAGGGGAAGACACGATGGGCAAAGGGACCTAAGGGACAGAAGGGTTTCTGCCACAACAGTTTTCACATATTATAGCCAAAAAAAGGTGTAGGTTATCTTTAGTTAAAGTAGGATGTCTTAAGAAGTGTTACTGACTGCAGAGCTTGACTTGTGTTAAAAATGCAAATGAAACGTTACAGAAACTATCACATTCAGTAGTAATTTTTTTTACCTTTTCATGTTTGTTTAATATTGGGTGCTAATTTGAAAGGAAAAAACACGAGTTCTTTGTGGGAGAAGCTCAATAACTTCCAAATAACAGGAAATAGTGACACTGTTTTCCACGAAGCAATCAGACAGGAAAGCTACCAGGAAATGCAGAGGCAGCATCCAGTCACAAGGCCAAGACCTGCAAACTACTGAGGTCAGGTCGTCGTGGCTGGGGCAGCTCTGAATCACAGCATTGCTTTCCCTGTAGCAACAATGGCAGTTCCAGATGCAAGCTGTCAGCACTGGAGATCCCCATGTCTTACACAGAGCTGTCACTAGCTATGGTTCTGTATGTTACAAAGCTCTCAGTTTGCCTTTTCAAATCACAAGAGTGTCTGCAAAATTCAGCAGCTGCCAGCTCTGTAGTAGGAGGAGGAACTTCCCACTGTGAGGACAGCAGGAGGGGCGATCCTGTGTGAGCAATCCTGGCTCATAAGGCAAAGCCATCAAGCTCTCTGGAGCTAAATTTCAATGAGTACCTGCAAGTCCCACTGAGTTCAGCATTCACTAAAACAGCACAACAGGTTAATCATTCTCAAAGCAGTGCTGTAAGAATATGATTCATGATCATCAATAACACTTTTTAATTACCTGGGTTTTGATTTTTTTTTGAGATGCATCAGCTCAAAGTGACCTTCATGTGAGTCCACAGATTTACTAAAATAGCCTTTACGGAGGTTTGGGCATGAATGACTAAGCCAGAATATGATTGGAATCACTGTGCTGGATTGTATACCTTCATTTATTTTGATATTTCTGCAAGTGATTGCATGATTTTACTTTATTGAAGCCTTCTGTGTTTAGAGCTTAAATTTGGCGGTGCACTTAGTTCACAACACGTACGTAAGAACACTATATGCAGTGTAGCAGCTCAAATCTTAGAATTAGATGTCTGTCGTTACCTGGAAACTTGTGGGACATTGTCCTCTTCCTCTCTCCATCCTTTAAGGTTCTCATTTGGCTGAAAAACAGCACTGTCTGCAAACAGACACAAACAGAAACAACACGGTCTTCTCCTGAAACTTCATAGCTGATTGTTTTATTAGTTTGAGAACATTTTTGTGATCAACATACAGTGCTTTGCCAAGACAGTTAGGAACTTTGAAATTGAAAAAACATCACTGATCAATGCACAGCTGTTTTAATATAGATGTTACACTTTTATACCAACAGTCTCCACCTCTGATTCTGTCTCCTGGAAAATTCAGTCACATGCTCTTATCTACCAACAGGTCTTTGACATACTTGGGAGCTATTCACATGCCATCCACACACCAGTAACAATGTGTGTCCACCAGTGCTTCTTAGGGCATTAAATTCCTTCTTAGCACTTGTCAAAGCACCACAATATCATCTGATAGAAGCACATAGGCATAGTACAAACCGCTCTGCAGGACCCATCTCTGTGGGACTTAAAGGAAGAAAGAATGGTGTGCACCAAAACAATAGACTCCCCAGGTTACTAGTTTAGGGGCCTAGTATTTCTCTCTCAAAACACACGCACACAATAACATTTAAAGTATTGAACTTACTGATGAACTCACGGGATTACTTGTAAACAGATCAAAGCCAGATTGAAAACATTTTCTGCTTCCTCAGATATCCCTCCTTTCCTGTACATGGAAAAAGTAGAACAAGAACCCAAATCCTTTCCTTTTCTTCTTCCAGCAAAACAATCCTTAGAACAATTAACATTACAGACTGTCAAAAGTGTTCAAACCAAAGTGACAAATGCAGTGAGTGGCAGGCAAGCCCAGCCCAGCCATCCCGAATGCTGCATGCTGGATTTGTCATGCAAATCAAAATGGAACCTGACATGCTCTTTGTTCATTTTCCTTTCAAAAAATCTGCTTTAGATGCCTCCCATGTGCCTTGTTTTAGAAGCTGACATTCCAAATGCATCACAGCAAATTAAGGGAAGGATCCATTACCAATAAAGATGTTGAGGTACAGAGTCTCACAAATCCTGTTGGGAAGACTAAAGGGAGAATTGCTGCAGCGTGCACCTGTAGGGTGACTCCATCTTCTGCTGCTTCTGCTTTTGTGAAGCTTCTTTAGAAAAACTCCAATCAGTAGGTGCTGCAAGAGAAGTTCTGGCAGACTGTCAGAGCCTAACATTTATAGATCACAGTCTGCAAAAATAGATACATTATGAATTAGCAATAGAAAGAGTGCTTTAGCTTATCTGTAGTAAAGTGCATGATCGTTAATGTGCAGTAGGCAAATATTTAAATGATAAATTGGTGTAGATATATCACCTATTTCTGCTGTTTCACTAAATGAGTGCAAAGGCAATTACAGTTAAAAGATGTCACTAGATACTTATTATTTTACAGTTAACTAATAGTACATGAAGACAACTTTCAAACACTGTCAGTGATGTCCTGACATCACGAAAGTAACTGGGAAGTTTACACTGATTTCGATTGAGTCGGCAGTTCATCCTGAACACATCTGTTAATGAGACAGCATGGAATTCACTCTAAAAAATAGGCTATCACAAACTTTGAACTACATTAATTTTACTAGTATTGTAATTAAAAAAGTTTAGATGATTATTTGGCTTGCATCTGCCAAAACTGGAATCAAAAACTGTATCAATGCACAGCTTTATTCTTGCAGCTTACTGACTCTTACCCTGCAGCATTAGATTTGAATGCTTCCTAGAATTTGTTCACTCATCTCTTCAACTATTTTTAGTAACGATAAACATTTTCATTCAGTGTCTAAGCAGAACTGTTTTCTGACAATTTACTCTTACATACAGTCTCTTCAAAAAAAGGCAAAACCTTTCTTTTCTGTGTTAGCTGTGAGCTAATTTTTATGAGTCCGTTTTCTCCCTGCTCATTTTCAGGCATCCTGTTTCTCCTCAGTTACCCCAATATCCAAACTTGTATAGAGGGACTTGTCAGTGAAGGGGAACTATGCCTCTGGAATTGCTTCCCTGCCAGTTCACATCTGATACTTAGATCCAAGATCCATCTGTTTATTCGTAATCTCTAGGGGCTTGGTACGGTAGTGGCTGTAAGTCCACCTTTTAATTTGATGTTGTCATTTGGCTGCTTAGTAAGTAGGTGACAGTCTGTCTAAATGCAGCAGGGCAGTTAGAACGAGTCAGTCATGGTATTCTAGCTGATACTTCATAATCAAGTCGAATGCCAGTCATATTTTAACAATTTAAAACTATATCAGTCATCTCCTACATACTCCCAAACTGTCAACACTGTGACACGTATTGCTTAATGAGCTCTCATTTAATATTATTTCTTGCACACACGTTTTTTTTTAGTAGTTTTGCCAGAGCTCTAAAGAGTGGAGTCTTGCTAATCTTCATCTCCCAGGTCTGTTTAGGTTCAAAAAGGTAAAATTGTGCCATAGTTTTGGGTGACCTATACACATTAAAAAACAACAAACAAAAAGACAAGGCAAATAAATACAGAATTTCCTTAGAGAAAAGTCTTGATCTTTTACATTCAAAGATGTAGTACCAGTGTCAATGAAGATAACATACCAAAGAGCATAAATTATGCCAGATAAAGATTTGTTTCTCCATCCAAAAAGTGGGATTAGGATTGGCGGTTTATCATTCTTGGTCACAATTTGCCTCCTGCTGTGTTTCTCATCTCCTCATGTGGAGCTTTATTTAGCATGGTGAAAGTGCTTCGACCACAGTCATAGCAACAGCCAGTAGAACTATTTCTGCAAGTATAGTTAATTCACATTATAGACTACAGTATAAGCAATCTTAAGCAGCATTCAAAAAACAAAGTAAATTCTTATAGATGCCATCTGAAGCAAGCCCTACACATAAAAGCTCTGATAACACACTCACTTTTCCATGAAAAGTTTAGATAAGCTATTGCATGTGTGAACTTTTTGGTAATGAAGGTTTCTACTATCATTGGATTTGTGGGCTTACAGTTAAATAATTAAATTATCCTAAGAGGTCTCCTATCTTTCTAGAGCAGAATAATAAACTGGAGCTGTGCTTTTCGCAATGCTTTTGTAAGAATTCTTGTAGCTTTTGTAGTCCAGTATCTAAACTCTAAAGAAAAATACAGTTAAAAAAAATACAGTTAAAAGCTCATCAAGCAAAACCAAATAATTATCTGAGAATCAAGAAATAAATTTCTCTGTAGATGAATCATTAAAACTGTATTAAAATATCACTAAGAGATCTCCAAGAAACAAGTCCTGAGCATTTCTACTCAGCAATAAGGAATCATAATTATCACTCGTTTTTCATAGTAGGAATTCAGAAGTTAAGAGACCAAGTGTGTGAAACATGGTGTGCATTCACTTCTCATTCTCTTCAATAACTTGAGACAAGTAAGCAACCTGCTGATCGCAAGCTGGGCATTATGGGTGCGTTCAGATTCCCTGAGGGCCCGGCTGCCTGAGCACTGTGCTCCTGGAATAGATTTGAACAGCTCTGTACAAAAGCAGACCCCAGCTGAACACGTGAATGAGAATCACAAGTGGCTGCTCTGCCAATCTTCCCGCATACTGCATTCATAGCTATACATTAGAATACTAGGATTGCTATGTAAGATCTTAGTTCTTCTTTTTGCCACGCTTCAGTAAAGATTTTCCCTTATAGTAGAGTTCATTTTCTCTTTTCTTAGTTCTCTGCTTATAAAAACAGGGCAGCACTAGACATTAACATGCAGGAAAGCAAACAAACTCAGAGCTACCACCCCAACTGCAATATGATCCTGCCATCCTAAATATACTCAGCACCCCGCCTACCCACTCTCACACCATTGCCCAGAGGGCTGGAGGAACTCTCTTCTTCAAGTTGAAATATCACGTACCCTTTCCACTGTCCACAGGACAGGGAAAGCACTGTGTGGGAGTTGAGTTCTGCTTTCCAAATATATAGGGAAGATTAGTTTATCTAATTATATCTGTGGCCTGTAACTGCTAATCAAATGTGAATCAGACTGAAGATAAAGAATATGAACTGAAGAATGAATACTCCAGGTGAAACTTCTGCATCTAGCAAAACTCACTTGAGGGACTTAAGGGAAAGAAAGAGAAAGAAAGAAATGCCAGTGAAACAGATCTGTGTTTTGGAGCACAGCAAATCATCAGCAGGACCTACACCTTCCAAATATACTAGTTTTAATTTTGATGCTCACTTCTGGTGGGTCATGGTGGGCTGAACAGAGAGAGCAGTAAGTAGAACCTGAAAGCACAAAGAATGCAGCTACAGAAGAGGAGCTGAATGCCCTTGAATTGCAGTCAACGTGATCATGATTACATGGGATTCAAACACAGCTGCCCAGAACACTCACTCTGGATTTGTTATTCTCAGCAACACCCCGCGTGGCAAATTTCAGTTCCGTACCAATGAGACATCGTAGCACTCCTAATAAATACTGGCAGTGGCTTACATGATGGCCTGAATCAGTAAGCAAATGTTTAATGCTTGACAGTATGTTTATATTCAGCCAGTATGCACTATTCTTTTGCTCCAAATTTACATGTAAAATTATCAGGAAACTACTAGATACATGGTAGTAACTTTGAACGTGTGTATTTGCTTTAATGACACTTCTGCAGGGCTCACAGCCACCTATGTGACTATATCTGTTCATTATAACCATTTCGAGATGGACAGGTTTAAAGATGTAGGGAAAACAGTAGAATTATTACAGACAACCAAGAAAAGCATGTAACTATGAAATAAATAAAAAAATCCTAAAGTGGAATAGCCTATGTGTGTGGTTATTTTCCTACACATCTGAAGAGGTATTCTATTGGTATAAAACTGGTGCACTTCAGCCTTTCGGAATGACAGGAATGCTAAGTACATGGCAGTAAACTTATGAAAAAGATTTAGAAGTAGCATATGCATTCAATCAACCGGAAACAAATGTGATCTTTCAGATATAAAATACAAATTCCAGTATTGGTACAGGAAAATAAGACAGAATTGGCCATCCTGAGCCATGAAATCTGACATATCATGAAAACACTCTGCCAACTATTTCTGCTTTCACTACCAGGAATTTACTCCCAGAACAAACTTTGTTTGCAAATGACTGTTGCTTTAATTTATCATATTAGACTTCTGAAACTGGTCTTTTTTTTTCTTTTGCATCATATTGGGATATTTTCTTATTTATAACAAATACTTTTGCTGACTTTGCAGACACCCTGTCATTTGCTAAATATGGCCTTCTGAAAAGGATTATTTTACAAACCAAGAAAAAGAAGCTCACATGACTGGAGCTTTTCCATCTGGCAATCACTGCTATGACTCCAAAGGGTTCACACATACACAACTTTGTTGCACTGTCCCACCACACTCAAGGCTAAAGTTTGTCTTTTCGCAGGCAAGTCTCAGTCCAGCATCAGAGATTAATTACCTAATTATCTTTCTTACTCCCGTCTGGAAAGTTGCCCTCTGGCTCCTCCTCCTGGTTCTGAAATTTAGAAGGATGCACCACCAGAAGCAGCAGAGGCACATAAACAGCAGGCAGGAAACAGGGACAGATGACAGGCAGTGAACAACTTCCAAGAACAGCTGTAGATACACAACATTCAGGAGTCTTTCTCTCACCAAGCTGATTGGCACAGCCAGTCTACAGCCTCAAGATCAGCCTTTGATCGCCTGAAGATGCTCTGTCGCTATTTACGCTGTCAGAAGACCGGCAAACATCCAATGCAACACCAGCATTGGCAACAAGTCCCCTGGTGTTGAGAGAAGCTACATGTACGTTTCTGAGGACCTTACTGCTGCCAGAAGGTGACTGAGGGTATATTCAGCAGCAGCAATGAGCTGGCTGGGGAGTGCAGGGAAGCTTAGGAAACACACTGTGGTTGGGATGGACCATCTTAGTGGTCTTTTCCAACCTTAATGACTGCATGACAAAGAAACTGCGATACTAAGCAAAGACTATGATGATGAACAGGATAAGGTGTGTAACGTCATCTTCAATACATATAACTTTTTTGGAGGTACAAAAAAAAAAAGAGAATGTAGGTGAAAAGGTGGCAAAGATGAACTTAAAGAAGAGCACAGAAATTAACGCAGGTATATATACATATATATATATATAATTCAAAATGTAAATGGGGCAGCAGACAAAAAACCAAACGAGAGGTAATTAGAGACGTATACAATAAATATTCAAGTCCAGCAAACAAAACTATGCAAGACAGAGCATAAACGGAACATAAATAGCCAATAACGACGGCTACCCACGTGTGCGTGCGGGCACACGTACTGACATTTCATTAAAGCACAGACGAACGACAAACATCAGCTGAGAGCCCCGCCGATAACGTGAGGCAGTTACAGCACGACCGGCCCCGGCCGGGCTTCGCTTCCCGCCCGTCACCGCCTCAGAGCGCCGCGCTTCGCACGTGCGCGGGAAAGTTCTGTGGGGAGAGCGAAGGGAGCGGCGGGAACAGCCGGGTCGGCGGGACGGGACGGCCGTGACCCGGGACAGACGCTCCGCTCTCCGTGCGCCGCTGAGCGGCTTGGAGGGCGACTGGCAGAAGTTTTGCCTCAGCCTCGTTCACCCGCGCCTCCTCCCCTCTAAGGGAACCCCAGGGCTGAGGGTGAAGGTTCCGCAGCAGCCACACCTTTACCACATGAAGCGATGCCGGCTGTCACCAGACAGGGGGCTCAGACCGAGCCGGCTCCTCAGGGCTGCGGCAGGTCGCCTCATGTGAACGGGGCAGCGGCACCCTAGGCGACCGCGGGGGCACAGCGAGGACAGAGCGCCCAGCCGAGCGCCGGAGCCGCGGCGCAGCGCTGAGGGCCGGGCGGCGGGGCGGGCGCCAGGCGGAGGGCCCGCTTTACCCAGCGTGCCCCGCGCCGGAGGGCGAGCGGCCCTTTCCCGCGAATTCAGTTCAAAGGAGGGGGAGGGGAGAAGCGCCAAGCGGCGAACCGCACCGACCAACCAAACTCTTCCAGAACCATCCGTGCGTCACGCGGGGGCGGGCCTGGCGCCGGCCAATCGGGCGCTGCGGCGCCATCTTCGGAGCCAATGGGAGAGTGGCGGAGGCGGGCGCGTCGTGGTCGTCGGGTTCGGCTGGTCGTAGCGCTGAGGAGAGCGGAGCGGAGGAGACTTAGAGGAGTTGGAGCTCGGCGCTTCCCCTCCCCCCTCCTCGCCCACCCGCCCCGGCCGCCCCCTCCCTCCCTCCCCGCTCGGTCTCCGTCCCGCCGGGGCGCTCTCGGGGCCGGGCCCATGGCTCCTCAGAAGCACGGTGGAGGCGCGGGGCCCAGCTCGGGCTCCGCCGGCGGCGCGGCCGGAGGAGGAGGTGGAGGTGGCGGCGGCGGAGGAGGAGGAGGAGGAGGAGGAGGAGGAGGAGGTGGCGGCGGCGGCGGCAGCGGCAGCAGCAGCAGCGGAGGCGGAGGGTTCGTGGGCTCCGCCGCGGCGGCGGCCCCGGCCGGTAAATCCGGTGGGGCGGCGGGAGGAGGCGGCGGCGGCGGCGGAGGAAGCGGTTACTCGGGCGGTTCCTCGGCCTCCTCGGCGGCGGCGGCGACGACGGCCGCGCTGCCCCCCGTGAAGAAGCCGAAGATGGAGCAGATCCAGGCCGACCACGAGCTCTTTCTTCAGGCCTTCGAGAGTGAGCACCGGGCCGGGGGCGGGAGCGGGGCCGGGGCCGCGGCAGAAAGGGCGGGAGGAGGAGGAGGAGGGGAGGGCTGAGGGGCTTCCGGGGGTAAACACGCTCGGGGGAGGGAGGGGGGCTCTGCCGGGGGAGGCGGGGGGCCCGGCGGGGCTCGGGCGGAAGCGCGGGGCCGGGAGCCGAGCGGCGGGGCCGGGAACTTGGGGCCGGTGCGGCTGCCGGGCTTCCTCCGCTCGGGGCGGCGGGGGCTGAGCGGGGCCGGCGCCCCCCGGGGCTGCGCGGGCCGCTGAACGGGCGCGGGGCGACGGATGGTGCGCCGTGCCGCTGAACGGGGCGTCCCTTTGTCTGGTAACCGCTGTCCCCCGATTGGGATCGCGTGTTGGAAATCGACCTTCGGGAGCCGGGCATCACCCTGCGGCAGCGGTGGGAGAGAGGAGGTGGTAGAAGAGGAGGAGGATTCCCCTTGGAGGCACCGGAAAGTTATTTACGGCGATCTGATTGAAAAGCATAGAGCGGCAATAAGCGTGCGGTGTGCTGCGTGATTCCCGGGGCAGGAGCGGAAGGAAGTTTTCAGTGTCCCACTAAATGTGTGATGAGGTTCTGGGATCGGTGCTGTCACCACCCGCACTCGCTTACTACAGACGGTGACAGCGTTTGGTAAAGCGCTAGAGATTCTGGTGTTGTCTCAAAGGCTTCCTCACGCCGCGTCCTTTCACCCTCACTCTTGGTAAAGGAGCTGTATGATCGATGAGTGCTGTGCTGCAAATAGGTCGGGTTGCAGACGGGAGGTGTGAGCTCAGTGTCAGAGGTTTGGGGGAAGATGTCACTTTTCTCCCCCATCTGTCAGCAGAGAAAGGAGTGGTGCAGGTGGGGTTGGGATGTGTTGCAGTGGGTTAATGCTGTGCTGTGGATGTCGTGGAGAACTTGGAGGAAGTAAATTGTAGGTTAAGAAATCCTGACAGACGTAGCACTGAATCACATTCTGGTTGAGTGTTTTTGTCCCTTCGTGAGGTCACGTGCTGGAAAAAGATAAAGATTTATTTTAGGCTTTTGCTGAGAAGTATGGACTTCTGAAACGTGTCTGCTGGCATGCTGAGGAGCGTGGCATGGGCTTTTTCTTGTTGGAAGGCTGAAGTTGAAGCAGCAGCACGCTGTCTTTTAAGTTACATGCGTTATCATGAATGCAATTTGATGTTTTCATACCTTTCTAAATGATATCACAGATTTTTTTTAAGACTAAGAACTAAACTAAGGTGTTTCTTTCAAAGCTGTGGCTGCTCAGTATTTTCACTTTCAGCTGAAGTGGTGGTTCTTTTCTGTTCTTTCCATTTAATGTCCTCTTTTACTATCTTGCAAAATATGGATGTCATGATGATATTAGTTTCTACTTTGCATTAAACCAAATTTTATTGGTTTTCATCGGGCTTCTAAAATATTGAGATTGTTGTAGGATTTCCTTCTCTTTAATAATAATGCACCTCTCTAATGATCGGTTGTTTGGGATCTTACATTCACATATGTAGAAATGAGACTCAATCATATCTTAAAATGGATGAGGATCAGATAATGCTCTCCTTTTTCACTTCAAATATCAAAATTCTGTAAATCAAAACCAGGTTTTCAGCGATTAAAAATAAGACCTTGGCAGTTGTTGTTGAAGAGTGAAATACTGTGTTTCTTTATGTATGTATCTATATTTGTCTGGTTCTGTTACATGGGAAGCAGTTGCAGTGCTAGCAGCCTTAGCACAGGCACGCAGGCATTTGCTGCTCTCTGCCTCTTGCTCTCCATTTGTTTTACCAAGTCGCTTCCACGCTTCCTGCTGACATTACCTAATGAAGGTGACTTCCATTTCATTCTAAAATGAGTACTTTTCAATTTAGTTTTAATGTTTAAGATATAACCTGGTCCAAACCTTTTCATCCTGATCTAACTTAATTGGTTAAAACTTAACTGTAGGTCTCCTTTTCTGTAAGCAAGTGTTGCTCTTCTGAACTTCGGTTGTTACGTCTGTTTCAGACGGTGCTGCACTTTCACGTCAGCATGGAGTACAGCTCTGTTACCCATCAGTCACTTTGGAACAGTAACTGCTTTACCAGAACCGAGATTTTTCTGCCCTAATTCGTATTTAAGGTTTTTGAAGATAATTTCTTTGTTTAAATGATCTGTAATGCATCATTGTCAGTGGTCACTCCCTACTCTTGTTTTGGTACCTTGTGCAAGTGACCTCAGTGCATTGGCCAGGATGAAAAATCAGATAGGATCATTAACTCGGCAAAGAAAACTTACCTTGTCAGCAACAAATTGTTCTATATTTGGGTCCTTCTTTCTGTCTTCCTATGATGTAAGGTCTGTAAGAAGAGAGTTCTGCAGAAAAGGAGCAGTCTTAGTTGTGTGAGTCGTTGCTAAGGGTTTCTGGTAGCTTAAACAAGAAGGCACTTTGTGTTTTACAGGAGGTAGAATAATGACTTGTTTACTTGGAGTTATTTAGACATCATGATGCAGTGCTTAAACTGCCACTTCTGTGATCATCGTTAAAAACAAATAATGTGTTAAGTGGGATGCTGTCGCATCGTTAAAGGCTGTTGCTGTAGTGGAGGTTTAAGGCACGGTGGGTAATGCGTGTTTTTTTTTCTCAGAACCAACACAGATATACAGATTTCTACGGACGCGGAATCTCATAGCAGTGAGTAATCGCGTTTTTATCACTCTTTTACTTTGGACTTGTGGCAAGCTAATAAAGCATGTTAACCTTCTCATTTCTTTTTCTGCAGCCAATATTTTTGCACAGAACTCTTACTTACATGTCCCACAGAAACTCCCGAACAAATATCAAAAGGTAAAACAATTATTTTGAAAAGTAATCCTAAATGTTAACTTCAAAAAATTCAATCATTGATTTACAGTTATTTCTAAAACCAAAGAACTTTCCTGCTATGTGAAGCACGTGTGATTTTTATAGCTGTGTTTTCTGGTGTGGGGAGGACTGCATTGTGGTGACTGCAGAATCCTCATCGAATTACCCGTGTCTGCTTTGTTTGGGAACTGAATTTCTTAAAAGTAAATAAATTAAAAGTTGTTTAGCATCTGGGCTTAAGAAATCAGTGATGCTTAGTCATGAATATTTAAACTGTGACCTGAACGCTTTTTAAAAAAGAAAATACAAAAAAAAAATCGAAAGAACTAAAAAGGCAAAGCCCCTTTTTGTTATTTAGGATTAGAAGAAACCACTGTTCTTCCTGTAACTGTTTTAACCAGGTGAAAAACGAATGAGGTTAATTTGTAGCATTTCACAAAAGATCCAGCAAGAACTTTAAAAAGGTTGCTTTGAACTGCACCTATCTGAGAAATGGGCTTTGGTTTTGGCATTGCCAAATCGTTGTTCATATCATATGAGGTGTTAGAGATGCATGTCAGTAGTCTAAAATACATAAATATTGCAGTATGAGAAGTACGTGTGTTGGTGTTTGTTGTTTGCAGAACTGCAGAGTCCCTTCATTTTTTTCCTCTCACAGAAACTCCTTTGCTACATTTTGGATTTTTTTTTTGTAGCTTGAAGGGGTCATGTTTTAACAGGGAAGTTCTCACTGTGTAGCAGTTGCTGTGGGACAGAAGTAGTTGATAATGAACACAAGAAATTGCAGCAGTCAGATTTTGCAGACAGTTATGCTTTATGCTGTATTTATGTCTAAGCAAAATAACTTTTGAATGATCTGTTGAGCAATAGAATTTGTGACATTTAAATCAACTTAAAGAGGCTATACTTAGCATCCTCAGGTCACTTGGGCTTAATTTAATGTTCTTGCTGTTTTATTACAGTGGCATCAATAACGTACAGCTTCAGGATTGATACTGCTTGCACGTATCTTATCTTTTGATCAGATTTGTTTCTTGAAGTTGCTGCTTTTTCTTACAGAAGTTACCAAAGTGGATTGTTTGCATCTTTTAAAGTAGGGCAGAGCCAAATTGGAAGGAGAAAGTGTTCAGGTGGTTCTTGTGTTTATTTTTTTTCTTAAACTAGAATTGTGCAACAGGAAGTTGTTCTTGCTTAGTACTTATTTTAATTTATAGTTGATTGAAATGCATATGATCTTTTACCTGAATCTTACTCTGTTTCTGTGAATGTTTGCTGTCGTTGCTGGGAAACAAGTGATATTGTGCATGTACATTGAATTCCAGTTCAATTTCAGCAGCACAAACAGCTTAGTTTGTCTCTGAAACATACTGAGTTATTTTAGTGTCCATGGTACTCTGTTCCTGAACTGTGATTTTAGGTTGGGTTTTGATTCATAACTGACAAATTAGCAGCCATTTCAATCATTAAGAGGTTTTAGAAGATGGAAAACTAGAGTGGAAGATCTTACTGGGGCTTGTTTGGAAAGATTTATGTACCTTGCTTCAGTATGGTAAAAACATTGGGAGAGTTCTGGTTGCAAAGAAGTATCTTCTGGAGCTCATCATTCTTGGTCTGTTTACGTTAACCTTTACAATAGATACCCATTTATTTATTTTCCCTCTAAGACAGTAATTTTGCCATTCTTAAATTCCTGGTCATTGTTTGATGGCCATTTTGATCAACAGTGTCGTGCGTAAAACACAACAAAGTTATCCCCAAACTTGATGCAAATTAACTGTTACAATAATGATTGTCACTCCACATCTCTTATACCAGCCCTACAGTAATGTGAGAAAAATGCCAAAGTTTATCAATGGGAAGTAAGGAGCTACAACTGTATTTTTACCAAGGAATTTTCCATTGCTGTTGGTCGATGTTTAATATGGAGACTGGTATTTGTAATGGCCAGGATGCTTCAAGTATAGAAAGATGCTGATAGGCAGTAGCTAATGAGCACATATGAGCTTGGGCTGTGTGCTTTGGTAAAGTGAGGCTTAATAGAAGATTGAAATGGGCTGTGGGTCAGAATTGCTTTCATATTCTGCCAAACGATGTAGTTGGAACAAATGCTTTCCATACAGCATTTTGATAATGGAGTATTTTTATTTATTGGCAGGGCAGCAGCATGCTACTATGGATGTGACTTTTAATACTTTGTTAATTATTACTGCACTGGATAGGAGTAAGAGTAGGTGGTGAGAGGAATGTGTAAAATGAACACATTCTTACCACAAGTAAATGCTGCCTTACAAAGCCAAGGTGTTAAGGGCTGCTGTAAGATCAGTTTTGTCACTGAAGCAACTGCGTTATTTATTCATGCATGAAAACAGTTATGCAGTACTTCCTTCTGCTCTTAGAAGTTAACTTCGAATGCAGCAAATTTGATTTAAAGGGTTTTGTTGTGTTTCTTTGCCATTTTTCCTTTTTTTCTGAAAGATTTTATGGTGTCTTTTATTTTGCCTACGCTGACTTTGACATTTGGAAACGTGTCATTCTTCTTTTTGAGTTGTTAATGCTTGCAAGTATTACATGCAGGCTGCAGCAGTTCTTGGTGTAAGACATGAAGGAAGGATGCCCTCATTGGCTTTTTGCTTTCTGTTGGCCCCTAGCTCCAAACATCAATTTTCCTATAAAGAGAAATTGAAAGATTATTCCAGAAACCATTGAGTAACTAATGTTCATGTGTGAACTTCATTTTACAATGGCTATTAAATGGTGCATATATAATAAACAGGCTGAATATGGAAGCACAGACAGACTGATGTTGTTGAAATGATTTAAGGTGATTATTCTCTACAACATTCTATCATGATTTTTCCTTGCATTTCCTATGAGTGAGTTCCATAAGTAGGTTCAGAATTCAGTGTGCTTTGTGTGTGTCTACTTAATGCAATTTTGTGGAGGAAAAATCTTCTTTTATCATTAGGTTTCTATTTTGTTCAGATAGGATTTTAAATGGTTTTCATGATTTGGTCAAGATGAAAATAGCAATGACTGGAGAGTTTACTTGAATGCTTCTGATTGTCTTAAGTGTCACTAAAGCAGGAGGATTTTCTTTGAGCTAAGCTGGGATACCATTAGACACATTCATAGCAAGGTTTTAACATGCAGTTCAAAGGCACTTCCTATGAGCAGCCACATTACTTGTGAAAGGTCTGATTAATTATTTGTGCTATGTTTCCACTGCTTGAAAAGCTGTATTATGGTTGTATTCCTATAACATATGTGCAACTACAGCTAAAAATGTTCAAAAATGGGTTCTTTGTAAATGGAACGCTAAAATTACATGTATAGTTCTTGATAAATAATCAAGTCAAAGTTCAGACTGAATGCAGCTTGTTAAATATTGTGGGGAAAGTGACTATACTCAAATTCTTCTCTTCCTGTTTCTTTACAGGAAAACGTTCAAAGTAGATGATATGTTATCAAAAGTAGAGAAAATGAAGGGAGAACAAGAATCTCACAGGTAATGTTGTGCATATATATATGTATGTTTGTGTTTGTGGGGATGAGCATGTGCATATTCTAAGTTGAAGGCTTGTTGATTGACAAAATTAAGGTGATAGACTAGTTGGTAGAACAAAGATACTCTGCTGCTGAAACATAGATTCCAAAATGTTAAAATGAGTGGTGTGTGCTGGTTGTAATATTGAGGATTTATACAACTGTATACATGCCCTTCTTAAGCCTGTGTTTGTAGTTGTGTGGGGAAAAAAAAAACGAATTGGTTCTAGGCAGTTTCCATTAAACTGACCTGTGCTGACAGATGCCTGGGGAACACCCACGTGCCTGTGATGGCAGCATCTCATGTCTTCAGACAGCATCCTTTTAAAGCCCTGCCTTTTTCCCATTTTACTCACTGTCAAGTCATAAAATAGAGTTAGTCTGTAAAGAGAAGACTGGTCTATAGCTTTGCATCCATTGCAACTTAATGTGTGCTGTTTCCAAGCAGTTTCAAAGCAGTTAAAGGAAAGGACTCCTCCGTTATTACGGTTAGAGCTGAAACAGTGAGTGGGGGCTGCTGTGTGGAAAAATTCTTCTTGTTCTAACATATTCTTTCTCTTTCTCTTAGCTTGTCTGCTCATTTGCAACTTACGTTTACTGGTTTCTTCCATAAAAATGGTATGTTTGCTTCACTTATTACACCATTAATGTGTACAAGTTTGAAATTAATGTAGGTCTCTGAAGGGAATATTTGAATGATGTGTTACAATCTCTGCTGCTTAGATGCAGATTTTAACTTATTTATTCTCTATCTGTCCCGTTAGTTACAGGACTTCAGTGTGAGCTGTGAATATGTTTTAGTGTGTTTGTTATGTTAAGCAGATAAGCCCTCCAGATTTTTAGACAAAACAGTGACTTCGCCATCATCCATTCAACCTTGAAATAGACCTTGAGGAAAGAGTTCCTAAAGAAAATGATTTTATGGAACTGTGTCTTTGAAGTATCATTAAAAAAACACAGCCTACCACCAAGAAAGCTTCAAAACTGGAATTAGTTAGCAGATTCAGTGCTCTGGTTTTGTTTGTCTCTTTTTTTTCCCCCAAGGCACAAATGTGGGAGCAAATTGTATCAGGTAGAGCCTAGAAATCAGGCAAAGTCATGTCAGAGACTGAGAGTGACTGCAATCATTTACCAGTGACTTACAATCATTTTATTGTCTTTTATGCACGTAAGGCATTACCTCTCAAAATCAGAATATTGGACTTCCCTGACCAGAATGAAGGGTTCCGTTCCCATAACGAAAGCAGAAGTTACATGCTTTATGCTCTGTAGGCATTGGTAAATTCCCTGTCTTTTTACTTCCCTGAAAAATATTACCTGTTTATACATGAAAATTAAGTGGTGTTTCTGGTTTGTTTGTTTTTTTTTTTTCATTTATAAGTATTCTGAATTGCATATTACTCCTTGGGTGTAAAAGCTGCTTCCAATCTTTCATTCCAGAAAGATCACGTTTAGTAACTCCATGGTATTAAACCTGACATAGGGAACTGCCTCTGGGTCAGTAGCTGTTCCATAGTTTGTGCTGACAGGCCTTGCCTTTCTCACTGTTCTTCTTATACTGGATAGTCCTATAGACGTGTGGGCTATAGGAAAATTTTTAATACATTACTGTATTTGTTGGCTTCTGTTTTGTTAACTATAAAAACTTTCATTTCAAGAGAGTACTGCATGTAGCAGGAGCGTGTCCAGTGCTTGTTCCATGCAAATGACCATTACTAATACACACAATGTGCACTACAGCAAATAGGAAATATAGAAATTATTTAAATTAAGAAGCTGGCACAACTGATATGCTGATTTATCTGGATAGAAAAATATTTTGGAAATTCTTTCAAGAGAGAACAGTAGTTTTTTTATTCTGAATTTGTGTTTTCTAAGAAAAGCTTTCTAATATATCTTGTGTTTAAAATTGGAAAAAAATCCATTTTTTCATAAAACTGCTGGTATCTCCAGATCAGCTACCAGAATTCTCAACTGAAGCGCATGAAACTTGTTCAAGTTTTCTCCTTTAGCACCTGTTTGTTCACATGTAGTGTGCTGTTTCAGCACATGGGCTGTCTTCACAATCATCTCCATGACTCTGGTTCCAGAAATGAAGCTTGTATTTTTTTTTTCTGGTTCTGTTTTTGTGACAAAAGTTAGAATTATTTTCAAAGGAAACCAAGAGTAAGTGTACTGTTAGATGTTAAAGATCAACTTCACTGATGTTTTTAATCTGCAAATAGTTATTAGGTAGGGTATGTTCTAAAGTGGGAATCTGGAATAAATATAGGGAGAATTGACACTTAGAATCAACTGGAATCTTTGTTTCTGAATGTAGCTATGGCTCAAAAATATGTTGATTTACTTCGCTGAACAGCTCTCTTCTTCAGAACTTAAAATATGTTCTTCTCTTTAGATAAGCCATCACAAAACTCAGAGAATGAACAAAATTCTGTAACCCTGGAAGTACTGCTTGTGAAAGTTTGCCACAAGAAACGAAAGGTAGGGGTGGCTTGGCAAACTATTAACATGCAGTAGAGCAAAGCGTGGATGTGATTCTGGAACGTCTCATTACCACTGCCACACAAGAAGCTAATGGTGAAATTATGTTTCTGTTGAGATTGATTTAGTGTTTATGTACTCATCAATAGAAATTGTTTTCTGTTGACTGAATAGAGGATTCTTCAGAAGCAAATACATAAATCTTTTTTTTCTCTGCTTCCTGAGAAATAACTGGAAGTTTTACAAAGGCATCCCACCTTATTTTCATTGAATTTCACTTATTGTAAGTCATATTCACTCATTATGGATTTCGGCCCCACCTCTGTTTTCACTTTTTGTATCACACCATTAAACCATTAATTCTGTTGGCAATCAAATCTTTTAAAATAGTCTATGCTTCTTAGAGTTAACAGATGAAATGGAAGTTGTAATTGTTCTGAAGTCCTAAGTCAGCTGCCAAGTCTTGTCTCTTTCATTGCTTTTTCTGTACCTGCATTTATGCATTGACCATCTCAGTAATTGGAGATTTTAGCTACTCTGAATCATACAGAATTTTCATCTCTTCTTTGTCTGCTTTAGCTATGTTTCACACCAGCTGACAGATCATCTTCACAGCTATGGGTGGCTCAGTAATGCACACCATCATTTTTAACCAAAAAGGGAAAAGTCAGAGTGAGAACTCTGTATGTTTTCCTTAAGAATATTGAACTGTTTTGGTGTGGTTTTAAGAGTTAACATTTTGAAGTATGTTTTGTTGCAAATTTTATGCTTAGGCCATCTTGCCTTGTTTTGCCAATATTTCACAGTGTTCCATGATCTATCTGAGAGATACTGAATATAATAAATCCTAGGGAAGTGGGTCTTTATCTCCCTGATAGCACATAAGTGCACTTTGTAATATTGGAAGGAGAAGATAGGAAGCCCTTAGAATGTATATATAACCAAAACATTTCATTTCTCTAAGTAAACAGAATTAAATTAGCATTAATGACTGTTCTACAGTTTTTTCAGAATGTCTCATGCTAGCATTAATTTAATCACTGAGAGAAAGATGGCTGTTGCTAAAAGTTGCCAGTTTTATGCACACTTAGAAGTGTATTTTTCATTTAAAACCTGGCATTCTCCTTCTGTTCTTGTTTACCCCTGTTACAAGGCTTATTTTCAAAAAGATGACAGTACAATCCATAAATTATAATTTGTAACAATTAATGTCAATTAATTTTGTATTCTAAAAACCTAAACCTTAGCTTTCTTGTTTTCCTACAGGATGTCAGTTGTCCAATAAGACAGGTTCCTACAGGTAAAAAGCAGGTGCCTTTAAACCCAGACCTCAGTCAAATCAAACCAGGCAACTTCCCATCACTTGCAGTTTCCAGCAATGAGTTTGAACCAAGCAACAGCCATATGGTGAAGTCTTACTCATTGTTATTCAGAGTAACTCGCCCAGGAAGAAGAGATTTTAATGGACTGATTAATGGCGAGACTAATGAAAACATTGGTAAATTCAGTCTTTAAATATTATTTTATGAGGTTTATCTTGTAGTTGTTGTGATCAGATGTAGGTTAATGTAGGTCCTACCTGGGGGAGGCAGTAATAGATGAGTGACTGAATTGACTTGCACTTGTTTTCAGTCTCTTCCACATAGGGCTGAACTATAGTTTTTAGCTAGAAACTGTCTGTGTAAATTTAACAACAGTTTGCATTAATGTGTGCTGGTGAAGTTGTTAGACAATGCTAATAGGGGACTAAGGTAACTGTGGTCTCTGGAACTGAGTTTAGACCTACATTAACACTGGTCACTACTGATTCAGCTGTGGGTGCTCTCATCAAAATGAAATGATTATTTTTTTATATATAATATAAATATATTTTTTAAATGTGTTACTTTTTAAATCTTAGCAAGGTGTTATATCACACCTGTTGCAGCTTTGAAAATTGCATATGGGATACAAACCTTCTTGTCTTACTGTTTTTTAACTAAAAGAAACTTGGATTTTGCCTTCCTCCTTTTATACTAACAGAGTAATGTGACTGGGCTGTAAATACACACAAATGTATCTAAAATATGATTGCTGTGCTGCTAAGTGCTCTTCCCATTGACATTTAGCTGTTCATTAAATACTGTGTCATTCTGTTGTATGCAGCAGCCAGTATAACTGTATAGAAGCTGTTCTGTTATTCAACTTTGTGCCTTCATAATAATTGAGTGCCGTGTTTGTTATGTGCAGATGTCAATGAGGAGCTTCCAGCTAGAAGAAAAAGGAATTCTTCAAATCGTGAAGATGGAGAAAAGACATTTGTAGCACAAATGACTGTATTTGATAAAAACAGGTAATAATTCCAAGTAAATATTGCTTCTGTTAATTATTAGAGATTTTTTAAATACTAAACTTAAACTTGTTTTTTAATTTGTTTGCTGTCTCTTACTGCATTTCTATTTAGAAGATAGAATCAGATCTTAGTCTTACTATCTGTAGATTTCGAAGCACATTTAAATTTGCCTGAAAAAATGTATTTAGTTTCATGGAAAATTAGTTACTGTGATATATATTTTACATTTTCATAAGCAAACAACACAATTAAAAATTAGTTTTATTACTCACAAGACATACTTCTCACTGACAGACGATTGCAGCTTCTGGATGGAGAATATGAAGTGGCCATGCAGGAAATGGAAGAGTGTCCCATCAGTAAGAAAAGAGCAACATGGGAAACAATACTTGATGGGAAGGTATGGGTTGTTTTAGTAGCTGAAGGACTTGTCCTCACTTTAAATGTTCTGGATAAAGCTGAAAAATAATTCAAAGTGCAGTGGCTGTTGTTCTGAAAATGAAATAGGCTGAGCATGCAACGGTACCTCTGTTTCAGGATGTGTGGGAACAAGTTTAAATTGAACTCTTGGCTTAGGAAAGCTAGATCATTAGACAAGCAGATGTTAGCAACTATTTTTTTCCATGATTTATACATTTGTCTTAGAAAAACACATATTGTCTGGTTTTAAGAACACTAATTCTAAGGGAGTTCTGTTTTTGCTTCTTTTTTTTTTTTTCCATCAGAGGTTGCCTCCATTTGAAACATTTTCTCAGGGACCTACACTTCAGTTTACTCTTCGTTGGACAGGAGACACAAATGATAAGTCTACAGCTCCTATAGCCAAGCCTCTTGCAACACGAAATTCTGAAAGCCTGCCTCAAGAGAACAAACCCAATTCTGTTAAACCTACTCAGACTATAGGTAAGCAAACTTTAGTCCTGGTGCTTAATAATTATCTGCTTAGCATTTCTGTGTTTCGAGGTTTCTTTGTACAAGAATATTAAAGGCTGATTTACTCAGTCTTCCGAACTGAGTATTTTATCTGAGCTAGGGGTGGCAGAGACTTAAACTTTTTCATAAGTCCATATAGATAAATGGCTGACAGTTAAAACGTGATTGTGAAGTATTTTCTAATAGGAGAAAGGCAGCAGAAGCAGGAAAGTACTTGAACTTTAACTGTCAGAGTTGTTCTGTTGCTCTGTTTTCTATTTCCTTGTACCATCTTCCCTTATATTTTAGAGTTTCTACTGTGTAATCTGTTAGGCAGGTTTGTGGCTCAGACTTGAGAAAGGAAGTGACTGCTGACTAACAATAGAAAGTGTGTACTAGTTTACAGTGTGATAATTAGGAGCAATAGGGATGTGGCAAGGCTGCATTATTCGTGTACTGTTAGAACCTGCATTTTGAGCATCAGAGAAGTTGAGTATTCCATTAAGTTGGTAAAGTCAGTATCACCTTCCAAAATAGTACAGCAGACTATTACTGTGGGAATATACAGTAGTGCAAAGCACAGCATTGGAGGGTACTTGTGCTGCTTTCAGTCATTGCCAAGAAAGGAGTGGAGATGGTAGGAAATTTGTGTCAATTAGAGGTTCTGATAAGTAGAAGAGAAGATCCCAGTGCATCTTTCCCAAGGGTGTATGAATCCAGTGCTGTCACCATACTTCAGCATGTTTCCCAAGGCAGACCAATGGAGAAAAAAAAAAATCAAAGGCATCTACAGCTAAAGAATTCTGTCTAACAGCAGAAAATGTTTACCCAGCTGTTTTTAAGATCTCTGAAGATAGTTTGGAAGTGGTGCCTGTAGATTTGTAAAAGAAACTAAGCACCAAGGCTTTTTGCTGATGTGAGCTACTTGCATCAAAGTTCTCCAGCGTAGCTCATTTCCTTCCAAGCAGGGTACCCTGCATAGAACTTCCATCTTTTCCTCTTTACCCTAAACTGAAATGCACATTTATACACGTGGATTTTGGTTTTTTTCAGCTGTGAAAGAATCCTTGCCAGCAGACCTTCAAACAAGAAAAGAGAGAGATGTTTTAAATGAACCTCGACAAAAGTTGCGAATATTTTACCAGGTATTGAATAAGAGGGATGGTGGGGAAGAATGTAAATATTGTGAGGGATTGTAATGTTCACATCTGAGTTGGGTGAAAGGTTCCATTGTGGCTGTATAACTCTCTATTTTGCTGCCTTAATGGATGCCCTATAAGGTTCCAAATTCACATAGGAGGACCCAGTCCATACAGGAAGTATTTTAGAAAAATCAATCTTCTTGGGGCCATGTCTTACATGTTCCAAATTGGACACCTGGAAAGGGAGTGGTGGTCTCCATATGGAGGGAAGGAATCCTCAAAATATCATTTTTTTTCAGTAAAGTGAACTGATTTGGTGTTCCCAAAAACTTACTATAGAGGTTCCCTGAAATTAAGTCCAGCTTTGTTTTCAGGTTGGAAGGTTGATGAATGAAATTCATTTGATGCTAACACTGTTTTTTCTTTTTTTGCATCAGTTCCTTTATAACAACAACACAAGACAGCAGACTGAAGCCCGAGACGACTTGCATTGCCCATGGTGCACACTGAACTGCCGGAAACTGTATAGTTTACTCAAACACCTTAAACTTTGTCACAGCAGATTTATCTTTAATTATGTTGTAAGTAGCACTGTGGTAGTTTAATGGTATGAAACATTGTATAGTTTGTCACAGATTATATAATGCAGTAACTTCATTGCTAGCTAATTAAGTTGGAGGACAGTATCTACAGATTTACTGCAACTTCCTTTGACTTTACTTAACATGAAATTACGTGAATGTTGACCTTTCACATGAGAAACAAAAAGTTGTGGGCTGCGTTCTTACAACAGGTGCCTCTTTTGCATTAGCATATTCTTTTTCTGTTGTAAAAAGCAATGTCTTCTACATTTAGTCTCTTGAAGCTTTAAGAAGGCATTTTAAGTATAAAATTTAGTCATGCTGGTGAAGTCCTACCAATGTGATCCTGAAGATAAATTCTGTTTTCTTTTTGTTATGTATGTATGTAGTAGTTTCATGGGCCCATTCCCCTGCTCAGAAAATTATTCCAAATCTTAGCTACTTAGCTAGTTAAGAATGTTCTAATTTCTTGGTTTTTTGTTAAGCAAGCTTTTAGTACTGTTGTCCTTAATTTAGTACTTTGAGGTATTCTGAGTGTATTCATGTGAAACAGTAAGATAGTGTAGAGCAAGGAAGCTTTAATGTAATTTGTTTCTAGAAGTTAAAAACTATGTGGGTGGTGTAAAAGGCATCTAGAGCATGTCAGCTTATTGATAGGATGTTGTTTAAGGTATTTGGAACTGGGAAGGTCACTTGTTTAAACCTCCTGGTGTGCTGCTAAATGGGTTTGTGATGATCTGTTTCAGTATCATCCGAAAGGTGCTAGGATAGATGTGTCCATCAACGAGTGCTACGACGGCTCGTATGCAGGGAACCCACAGGACATCCATCGTCAGCCTGGGTTTGCCTTCAGTCGCAATGGACCAGTCAAAAGAACTCCTATCACACACATACTCGTATGCAGGTAGGGAGATTGAAAAGCATATCTGTTCATACTTGTGTAATATGACACGTGGCTGAGGTCTGGAAATCCAATGCTATGTGTGAGCAGTGATAAATTTCACTAGCATTAAAGTACAGCTGTTCCTGATTAAATAAAATGTTGCTGAGGAATTGTATCTTTATCTGTGATTTTACATCTGTTGAGGCATTTATGTCATCATGAAGTTTTTTTTTTTACCAGCCTTGTCCTAAAACAGTCCAGAAGTTAGTGTAGTTTTGTGGGATGAGAGCTTATGGGTTGGCTTGTTTTTTCTTTTAATGGGGGGTATTACACTGTTAGTTTTGCAAACTGGGGCTCAGAAGAAGAATTTGTATTAATCAGCTGCCATAAACAGTATCTGCATGTTTGATTGAATGGTTAAAAGCAGTGAATGTTTCTCATTCTGCTAGGCCAAAGCGTACGAAAGCAAGTATGTCTGAATTTCTGGAATCTGAAGATGGAGAAGTAGAACAGCAGCGAACGTACAGCAGTGGGCACAATCGGTTGTATTTCCACAGTGACACATGTTTACCTCTCCGTCCACAAGAAATGGAAGTAGATAGTGAGGATGAAAAGGACCCTGAATGGCTACGAGAGAAAACCATTACTGTAATTATTTCAAAGCTGTTTTTGGTGGATTGTGGTTTTTAAGTGATGCACTGCGGTTGTTTTAGGGAACATTGGGCATCCATTGTGAAAATTATGCATTCACTTGGAGAGTAAACAAAATTGTGTTGCTCTGCCAGTAGTGATGTAAAAAAGTATGTATTTTCTTGTCTTTGGTTGCAGTGCTAGCTCAGTTCATGTCAGTCCTAGCAAGTTTTGTGCAGTTTGTGGCTGTGTCTCCTTCAGAAATGCTGCTGTCACTGGAATACAGCAGTGTGTATGTAATCTGGAAATAACTGATTGCAGACTCTGTGATCCAACATTGTTCTGACCTTTTTGACTGCAGTGCTCAAATTTTCAGCAGTAGTTACTTCTCTGATGTGTAGTGACGTGCATTAATTGTAGGTGTGCTTTCACAGCTTGTAGCTTACATGCAGTTCTCACATTTTCCTTCTGTCCTTTTTCTCACTCCTTTATCTTTTCAGCAAATTGAAGAATTCTCTGATGTTAATGAAGGAGAGAAAGAAGTGATGAAATTATGGAATCTTCATGTTATGAAGCACGGGTATGTTACTGCAAGCTTAATTTTGATACAAAAAGGTTACGTATTTGGTTGACTGTTTTGTTAAGCACTTTAAATTCCATGCATAGAAAGGGATTTTTAAAGGCCAGTTTGGTGGGAAGCTGCCTGTTCAGTTTAAAAGTAGGTTCTTGTGCCTTGTGGTGATACAGCTTTGAAAACAATGAAGTTGCAAATAATGATACTATGTCCTAGTCTCAGCAGTTATCTTACAGCACGGTTCCTCCGTGTATCTTCTTGGTTTTGAAAATATTCTACTTGCATAACGGTTGATTTCTAATTTGGCAGGTTTATTGCTGACAATCAAATGAATCATGCCTGTATGCTGTTTGTTGAAAATTACGGACAGAAAATAATTAAGAAGAACTTGTGTCGAAACTTTATGCTACACCTGGTCAGCATGCATGACTTTAACCTCATCAGCATAATGTCAATAGACAAAGCTGTTGCCAGGCTCCGAGAGATGCAGCAGAAGTTAGAGAAAGGAGAATCGACCTCCCCAATGGATGAGGAATCTTCTGAGGAGCAGAGTGGGACAGCAAACGGATACAGTGAAAATAACATGAGAGAGAGAATTTCAGAAATGGATAGCATCTCAGGTGTCACAAAACAGAGCAAGAAACAAAAGCTCTGAAGTCAGAAGTGAAATTCCATTCAACGGACAAGCATTGAAGTGACATTCTAGGGTGCATGAGCTCTATAAAGAATTACACACACAAAAATACAGATTCCAAACAGGCACTGCTGGATGGAAATAAATGATTTCAACAAGGATATTGTTTTAACAGGGTTTCTATTCAGTTACTTATGCAAGTACTACATGTATATCGGTTTTGGTGATGTAATGACAATATTCTAAGAGTTTGAGCATGAAGAGCAATATGAAAATCTTTTTGTAATTTTAGTAATTAGTGTCTTAAGAACTTTATGGAATTTACATAATTTAAATATATGTAAAACAGTTTTTATATTAAGATTTTTGCATCTGTATCTGGCTGTTTTTCCTACCATGAAGTTGTGAAACGTTGGGGAAAGGGGTTTGGGATACAGTTTCTGCTTCTCTTATTTAGAAATTCTCCAGTTAGCTTTTTGTGAAAATAACGTCTCACTATTTAAAGTTTAACCTTGATCCTTGCATTTGAAATCATTTATGAATTGATGGTAATGACAAATTTATGTTACACTAAAATTTAGAAGTTGGCAAACTTAGCACTTCCTTTGTCGTGTGCCTGTTTGGAAAGATGTTGGCTTTTCATGTTGCAGACACAGTGAAGTTCCACCTTGGCTTTTTGAGGTTACCGGCAGTTTGGTTTTCATGGATAATTCAGATGTATTGATCACACAGTGTACCATTTAAAACTTGAACATTAGCTCCTTTTCTAGTTTTAGTATGCATTTACACAGCTACACAAACGATTGGATGCAGAGCTCTGTGGGGCTGTGCATTGCAGTGTGCCATGCTAACGCCCAGCCTGTGCTCCATCTGTGGGCACGACGCCAAGGGCTTCCTCGGAAGTTCATGCCTGCTGTTCTGCCCGAGCACAGACTGCAGGGCCAGGCCAATGGTTTAGCTTTGGCTTTTGAGATGCCACTCTTGAGGGAAAAATGCACTGTAAAATTGGACCAGAAAATGTGTTGCACTTCTTATGCAAGTATTCTGTGATGTATTGTATTCAATACAGATACTAAGATGCTGACTAAACTATATTTGAGCAGTTTTGCACTGCTGTTAACACATTTTATGCATACGTTTACAGATTTTTTCCAATGGAAAGTGGTTTCACTACTGGTACAGTATCAGCACCGAAGGGTTTATTCCAGCAAGCACTGTGGTTGAGTGACATCACCTCAATTTTTTATTATCCTTAAAATATTGCATTTTTCATATTCTTTATTTATAAAGGAACAATGCTGCTGTAAATACAGGTATTTTTAATTTTTTATTTCATTCCATCACCATGAGATGCAGTTCCCTATTTGTTTAAGGGGTATATAAGCTTTCTAATGGTGTCTTCAGAAATTTATAAAATGTAAATACTGATTTTGATGGTCCTTTAAGATGTGTTTAACTGTGAGACTATTTAACTAATGGTGTGGATGTGATTTGTCATCCAGTATTAAGTTCTTAGTCACTGATTTTGTGTACAAAATAGGAAAGAGGGAAACTGCAGCTATCATTACAAACTTCTTGAATTTGCCAGCACTCTGGGTTTTAGCGAGCTCTAATTATGCCTCTGGATAAGTACATCAAGCATTTCTCTCTGGCTTTAATTTGCTAAAGCTGTGCACATATGTAAAAAAAGAATAGATTATTTTAGGGGAGATGTAGTTTAGAATTATTGCTTATGTCATTTCTTAAGCAGTTATGCTCTTAATGCTTAAAAGAAGGCTAGCATTGTTTGCACAAAAAGTTGGTGATCCCCCAAAAAACAGTAATGAAATTACTTCTGTCCAGTAAACTTTGTATGTCATGTCAATTTATAATAAAAGCTGAAAAAATCCCTTTGTTTTCTATTTATAAAGATGCCTTTTCTATATGTACCTTTGAGAGATTTTGAAGATACCGTGTAAGCTGGTTTAAACAATTTGAATGGTACAATAGATGTTTAAAAAAAAAAAAAGCAAAAACAAACCAAGTTCAGTTGTTTAAATGAACCATTGTTTTTACATTAAATGTTTTATTTGAAATCGGCTTTTGTACATAAAGTTCAGTAATATAAAATGTGCCACGATGGTTGTCTGCTCCTTTTGTGTGCATGCAGAAAGGCCCCAGCAGTGCCCTGTGACATCTCTGCTTCTGCGTCCACCTTTAACTCATCTTCCTGTGCTACGTCACGGCTGCTGAGTATCTGCTGCTCTCTGTATGTAAGGTGTCTCCAGAAATTACTACATTGCAGCTCTTGTGAGCACTTTAATTGCACGTGTGAAGCTGTTGCTCAGTGTTTCTGTTAGAAAAATAAGAGCAGTCGGGTTTTGTTTCTTTACGTGCAAGTAGTTGTTTCAAGCAGATCTTGATTTGCAGTGTAATCATTAGCAATTTCAAACAGTCCATCTCCTATTGGAGAGGCTCTGTTCTGTCCATGCTGTAGCATTAAGCAGTGAGTTGCAGTTACTGCAGCAGCTGCTAATAGCAGATGCTAAAACCCTGTTTCTGTGTTAAAAGTGAATGGGATTTTCAGATTCAGGCTGTCACTGCTGGATTCTGTGATGTCAGTTGTGCAGTCCTGAAACTTATTCTAATCAAGCCTTCGTTGTGCTGATGGCAGATTTCTGGTATATTTTTTGGTGCTTATTTTAACACAGCTGGTCTCTGAACCCCACGTTGCAACCAATCACTTTACTTTCATATTGAATTCAGTGCATTAGATACTCTAGCCAATATTGTTAGGTGAATGTATACTGTGAAGCTTAAGCACTGTAAGCATAGTTTCCATATCAGCCCTTGAAAAGCAGTGGGTTGTGATGGAAGAGATTTGCTTTCTGGGATGAAGCAGTCACAATTTGAGCTGTATCGATTACAACCTCAGAGAATCACTTAAAACTATTAACACATAAGCTGCTCCAAATCAGCAATCTGATGTTACCTCTGCCAATGTAGGAGCTGATCTGTGAGGACAATTTGATCTTGTTCAGTGTTCCATTCACAGAGCGGTTTGGTGCCATCACTGAGTGCTGGAATGAAGGCGTTCCTGCTGGCCCAGCTCTCCTCGTAGATCTGCTCTCCCATGCCTGCACAGCCAGGAAAAGAGCTTTGGATGAAGGTAAGCCCCTCCTTCCAAGACTGTGGTATCTGCTGTGCTAAGTTTGTTGATAAAAGCCTGAAGCTGTGCTCTTCAGGCAAAACACATCAAGTAGGTTCCTTCATATCAATAGTGTATTTAGGAGAGCTCTCTCTGCTGTCAGCTTCCCTGCTTACTGGCTTCATGAGTTAGGTGCGTTGCCTTTAAAAGCCACCAAAGAAATGGGGCAAGCTGCAGGTAAAGCAGAACTAAGGGAATAAGAATTCCTAGTTCAGCAGGGAGTTCTCTTGATGTGCTGCTTCTTGCTTAGTAACAGGAGCCAAAATCTATGTATTAATGAATCTGACAAAAGATGCAAACAGTAAAACAGACAAATATTCTGTGATAGAATATTGAGAATGTAACTGACAAATGCTTTGGTAACCAAAAAAAAATAAGGAAGACGCTTTTTTTTTAGCAAGAGCTGTTGCTTAGGTGTAAGTTTTACATGGAAGTAAACAAACTGCACAACTTGTGTGGGACTTTAGAGGAACTGAAGATGAAAGTGAGAGAAATGGAGAAGCTCTTTAAGGGAGCTGCAGTGCTCCAGAATGCATTTGTGCTCATTAGAGGAGCTCAGACATGCCCAGCTTTATGCCCCAATCACAACTTACAAACACAGCTGTGGGATAAAACTTTATTTAAAAAAATTCAAATTTCACTTGACACAAACATCTTAGTTGAGGTAAGTGAACGTACGAGCTTCAAAAAACGCTTCCAGGACTTCCCAAGCAGTTCACACTCTTGCTTGCAAGGCTCCAATAGCTGGAGGTGACAAAGCTGTGAAGGAAGGGCCCAGTCCTCCATCTAGCTGAACTCTGCTGAGGAAGAACGGAATTTCAACCTTTTTAATCCAAGCCTCTTCTGGTTCTTGGGATGCCTTGTTACGTAATTACTCAGCTCTCTTGTCCTGGGATTCTTCACCCTTCCCAGGTTGAAGTGTACAGCTTCTCTGAGGTGGCTGAGCAGTACCTAATACTCATTTGGGCAGCTAGTCTTATTCTCAGTTAAAAGTTCACAACTGAGATGCTGCCCCTGGTCACGAGGAGCTAAAATCTGAGGTCAGAACAAATATTTTGTTTTCCCATCCTCAGCTCTCAAGGGGAGCCGTAGGGATGTCCTGGGACAGCCCTTCACAGTTATCTTAAGCTGCTTGCTAATTTTATTCTGAACAAACGAAGCATTCCCATCTCTGGAAGTACCTGAACTCAAGCTTTATGTCCTGCAGTGCTGGTAAACAGCAGCAGCATCAGGTCTGACTAGATCCTCAAAAAGCAGGTGGAAGGTACCTGAGCTGCTGGTTCCTCACAAATGCAGGTATCTGCTATTTTAGTTTTCAAACAGTAACAGTACTGGCTGAGAACTTGTACCTGACCCCTGAACTCTTACAGCTAAAGTTACCAAATCGTCCCACTGGAGCACGACTGAATGCCACTGCAGCACTGCCAGCCCTCTGAGCAGCACTGACACAGCTGGAACATCTGCTCAACTTTTGTGGCTACAATATTTGAGATGGCAGACGGGATGCAGCACTGTTAGCAACATTCTTCACACTAGTTAAAAGGAATACTGGAAGTACAGCATATGCAAGTATCTTTCTACTCCCTAACACTGAAATAGTTTTGCTTGAGAAGTGGAGAACACAGCAGGCTTTTCCTTGCTTGCACAGATTAGTCTTACCTGCAGGTGTCCACACTTCCATGCTTAATAGAAAAATCCAATCCACTTTCACTTTCCATCGATCTGAATCAACCCACAGTTTTTTCTAAGCTGTATTACCAGCCACCATTCTCCTTTTCTGCAGTTCCCTATCACAGATGCTAGCAGAAAAATGCAGGCAGGACAGCTGATCTTTTGGAACTGATGGTGCAAATAGGGGGGATGCCAGTCCAATCCATTTATACTAGCATTAGGGGTAATATGGCATGTTGAAACTGAAGAAAAAGGGCAGAATGATTGTCTAGGTGTTACTAAAAATATATATATTACTAATCTTACATACTTGAGGTAAGAAAGTCTGCTTTAAGGTCCTCGATGAGCATTATTTAAAAATACTCTTTGAATCCAGTAGTATCACAATTCCATCTTTTGACCAAAGAATAAACTGTTTGACAAGCTCATCATTATAAATCTTATTTGATACTTATGGGGAATACTGGTAATTTTACCTACAGTCTAAATTAATCCTGTATTTCCACCACAGAGAGAGCCAAATTGACACCATCTGCTCTGCTCTGACTGCCCCAGGTTCAGTCTGTGCCATGGGCTCTGCCTGCAGCCTGGAGGAGCTGAGCACACAGTATGTGCAGGTCATCAACGGGCACTTGTGGGAATCCCACACATGGGAACAGCTGCTCAGTCCAATAGAAAGGAAGTGGCCTCTGCACTGTGCAGGGCTCTGTGAAGAATCACAGCTTCTTTCCATCTACCTGTCATACAAAAGTACCAAATCCCCAAGATTTGCTCGGATTAGGCTACAAAGTATAACTAGGAAAGACATTCAGACCAGATAAGGTATGTCCTACTGCAGGTGTTGGTGCACGTGACAAGTATCAGCGTGAAGCTGGGGATGTAAGCATCACTGTGGAACTACTCTAGAAACCATGTTCCAAGTGACAATGCAGAAATACCTGGAAATAAGGCACGAGTGAGACATTGAACAGATCAGCTCCAAATCTGAACAAACACCATGGCTCAGACATCCTTGTTCTGGAGGAATGAACAGTACCGTGCATAGAAGAAACTGCTGTGGCATGCAGGACCTGCTGTCTGTCCTTATTATGATGGCAGCACTGCATACAAGGAAGCATAGCAGAGCATCGCTGCTCTAAATACTCTGCTCTTTTTAGGAGTGGCATAAATACAACTTTGGTCCATTACCTCCAACTCCCTAAAAGTTTATAGGCTTATTTCACAGAACAGCAGCATTAAGCAAAGTTAGTTTCATACAATAAGCGTACCCTGAGCCTAGAGTACAATGAAATACTGATTTAAAAAAAAAAAGTCAAGTCTGGAGGAAAAAAAAAAAAAGTCTTATGGACTTGCTTTAAATTGTCTATGTAACTGCCTGTTCAACCTTTTCCAGAGTAACAAATCCACTGTTTCACAATTATTTTTTGAAATGAATCCAGCAGGAGTACAATATAGTGGAGTTCAAGTAGTAGAAAGATTGATATAAAACAGCTGGAAGCCCAGGTTGTGATACCACGCATTACAGCGAGAATCTTCACTCTCCTGAGCTGTTAAAACACCAGCACTTTCCAGCCTGGGTAAGAAAAGGAACATCCAAAATACAGAGAGACGCAGCACTGATCCAGCACCCAGTCAAAGACCACTTCCCTGTTGTTAGAGCTAATGGTTACTCTCAGCTTGAAGTTTCCCCCCTCGGTGCTGGGAGGCCCCAGCTGCACAACTTCCATGTCAAACGTCACAGTCGATCCAGAAGTGACAGCAGGCAGTTGGTTTGTCATCTCTTTTCCATTTACAAATACTGCCCCTGAAACAATCAAGGGATCAAACATTATTTCTCATTTTTGCAGGCAAATAAAAACGAAAGGCTATCCTGCCACGTTGCTTTCTGCCACATCAAACACACTGCAGTGAGTGCATGCAGAAGACACAAGAAAACCTAAGATTTCAGAAAGGATTTTAACTGCGAGCAGAACAGACACGTGAAATGTGTGTGAAGGTGCTCCCGTGTTCTGCAGGGGCACGCAGGACGAGGTGCTGAGGTTTCTGGGGAGAAAAATGGATCGCATTCTTCAGCCCTGTGACTCAGACTCACCATTTGTGCTAATGCACACAGCTTTATCTCGCTGCAGAGAATCGTAGCCATTCTGCTGTTCCACGCACACTCCCAGGCTGTCCCGTCTGTCGGGCTGTCCCACGGTTTCAATTCTAGCAGGCAAAAAGTCAAGTCAGACCCCAAAGCTTTACATCAGAACATACAATGAAATGCACACAGCAGTGCCCTGCCACGTCAGCCCTCTGCCCTTTGCTCCAGGGCTCTCTCCAAATTCATCCAACCTTCAGCAGAGATCACTACAGCGTGACCAGCAGTCCTGGCAGCCTTCCCCACAGCTCTGCTATTCCATACAAATTTCCTCTGCTGTTTTCCCTGCTGTCGCACCTTGGGGTCTTTTGAAATGATTTTCAGTTGTCTGAAACATGTCTTAAGAATTGGACAGCACGTGCAAAACCAGTCGCTGGTATCCTGGTCGACGTCATCTTATGGAAAAGTGAGATTTCAGCAAGTATTTGATGAGCTTTAATTAAAACAGCTTTGTTGAGCTCTGCTACATCCTGTTCTGAATAGGTTGTGGGGAAGGCTGACGTTTTGGTGGTGGTGTTTCTGGTGTTTTGTTTAAGAATTAAATCAGCTTGGTACAAACTGATATCAAGAGTAATGCCTGGGAGAGCACTGACAATCTGGCTTCTGCTCAGCTGGATTTTGGTCTTGGGAAAGTCTCCAAAGAAAAAGCAAACAAGTGGTGCAAAGGGCCTGGGCTGCAGCTGCCCGGGGCTCCAGCAGCTGAGTGAGGCACCAAACAGTGCTTTTCTACCTGGGTCCTCTGCTCTGCACTGCCATTTCTGAGAGGTACTAAATCGTACTTCTGGGACCCAAAGAGGCTCTGAGAACTCAGAAACTCAGCTGGTCTTTTCTAGGAAGTAAAACTATGGGGTTTTTTGTTTCTTTCCAGTTGTCTTTTTGTTTGTTTTACAGTTTAAAAGAAAGTAGTAGTGATTCGTGATGGTTGTCATCAAAAAATATAAAACCTTAAGCAGAAGCTTTTAAGCACTGAAAATTAAGCTGGGCAATAGAGTGGCACACAATGGGTTAACTTGTGACCAACAGGGAAGATAACATTGGAAGCATGTTTCACTTTTGCACACATAGGTTATTCAGTCCCCTGGGAATGTCACTAAGATAGCAAGAGCCTTGTACTGCAAAGCAAAGCAAAACAGACGAGTTCAACTATCCGGGGAGCTTTTAATATGGAAGTGACCCACAATGTTTTCCTAAAATGAAACTTTTGAGTTCATTTTGGTACCCCACTCTCTATTTCAAGCTCTAAGTGAAGTTCTACATACAGCTATTAGAAAGGCAGTGCTTTTGTGCACAAGGTGATGTTAATTAATTCCATCCCCAGGTAAGGAAGAGTTTCTTGAGTTGTCTGTCTGCACATTTATTTCCAACCCAAGAATGACCCCAAAAAAACGAAAAGCATAAATACAGATCCATTTAAAAGTAAGAGTTGTATCCTATCAATCTGCACCCCTACTTCCTCATGTATATACACCCTTTTCTGCACAGCACTGTAAAAGTAACCAGGATCAGCAGCACAAGGACAAAGCATCACAGAAGCAGCAGGACACAGCCTGCTCTGAGGCAGAATCCAGGCTGCGGCCACATTGAGCATCACAGCCAGCCTCCCTGCAGCAGGGCTGCCCTCCCTGCCCACTCCTGACCTCGTGGAGCTAACACAAAGCAGCAAGGAGAAACATGAGGGACAAAGCAGAGCCGGTTCCTGTGCAGAAATGCTATCTTCCCCAAGGGCAGCTCCTGAAGGCTGCCAAGGGACAGGATGAATCTTCACTTAAAGCAATGATGTTTTCCTCCAGCCTGTTCAGATGCCTCACCTCAGAGGATAACTCAAGCAGTCGACCTTTTCAAAAACACTGCATTTATCACAGCTTCACTTTTCACTGATGAGATATTGCTATGCACAGGATGAATACAAAGCTGCTTCACAAACATCTGTAACATGAACCTTGCTTACTTGGTTTGCTCTGCAAGCTGCCTATCCCCCTGGGAATAAATTTCATTTCAGCAGATGGAGGAAGCCAAGCACCAAATACTGCATTTCACTGCCTGGCAAAATCTCACACACTTGGAAACCAGAAGCTGCCCTGGAACTTTGGAAGAGGAACACAACTGAGTTTTGAGGCTGTCTTCAGTCTTAGCATCTGTGTCATTACAGTACACAAGGACATGTGCTTGTTAGTGCTCTGCCATCCTGAAACAATCTCATCTTGGAGAGGAGTCCACATAGCCAAACTGTAAAGTAAAAACTGCTCATGTGCTACCAATAAAAAAAAGATAAAAGACATTGGTCTGAAACAGAACCAGACACTGGCCTGAAACCTCAACGTTCTGCCTTTAATTTCACAGGCACTTCTTAGCCAAGAGATGTTAAAACTAGCAACAGATTTCAAATGAAAGCTTTTGGTCTTTTTATCCTACATCAGACAGGGCAGCCAAATACATCCTCATACCACCTACCACCTCAAGGTAATTCATTACCAGGAAGGGAGAAACGAAACACTGCTCCATATATCATGAACTTAAATTGCCTCTGGGGGCTGCCTACTGTACAGCAAGTAGTTTTATTTAACCAAGGGAAAGCTGGAATAAAGCTTCAGTCTGTGAGGTCTATGATTACAACCAACATTTCCAAAAGGAAGATGCTGGTACCCCATTAAATGGCACCATCTCAGTGATGCAACAGAGCTGCCAGGGATTTTGATCTCTTTCTATAGGAAATGAAAAGTTTGAGGCTCCAAAGCCTCAAGAGGCTCTGCACTCAAGAGTTTCTCAGGCCAGCTGTGAACAAGAATTTGATCAACACCCATTATGTCAGAGATTAAAGACATCAGTGCAACTGTAATTCTTACCTGACCTGGTAAACATATAACATTTTCCCAGCCAAAGTCATCAAAATACACAGTCTGCAAAAAAAGAACCCATGGGCCCAAAGCTAAAAGGACTCAGTGAGAGTCTCTGCTGCTGTCTGATCTCAAAAGCTCAGAAGCCACGTTCTACCATCCCTCAGGAGTTCACTCCAGCCTCTGTTCCAGATGGGCGCAGGCCCTACAAAAACATTTGGTGTTTTCCTATGGCCTGGGAGCAGAAGTAAAAAGCAGCTCAGACATAGACACGTCGCTTCGATTAGGGCTGAGCTTATGTCAGAACTCAAACATGGACCATAACTCAGGTTTAGATGCAATTCAAATATAACAGAGTACAGAAGGAATACTGGTTCACAGCAGAATCATCCAACAACAGCTGATCAGAAAGTACTTGCCTGAATGTTAACGTTTGCCCACAGAAATAAGTAGGAGCTTTGGAGTAGAGCACCCCACATGACTGAGAATCATTGCGAAGTGCTATGTTTCTTCGGCTGCTCAGGCTGTACCCCTCCAAGCCAGCTGTCCATTCTTCAAAGAAAAAACAAAAACAACAAAAACAGAAGCATGAACTCAACCAGACCAGCTGCTGCCCGTGCAAAACACTCACAACATCCACTCAGTTCAGCCGTAGGAAACTTAAGCTATGTAAAGCACAGGGGCTGGTTTTGCCTACTTCTGACGGAAAAATTTCTTATTGAAATCCCTTACAATCACAGAAAATATTCTCCAGGGTTCACCAGAACTTCACTCTTTACAGCAATCTTGTAGGTAAACCTTTATGAACCACTGTATTTAGAAATTTGAAAATGAAATCTGAGGGCTTTTCTCTCCAGACAAGAGAAGAACTTCATCACAGAAAGTTGGGTAGGAATGAGAGATGAGGAAAGAAACCATCACTTCTGGTCTGCAAACACTGACTGGCTGCTGCTTGCTGAGGCTCAGCTTGAACTGCTCAGCAACTCTTACACTACAGAGCTGGAATCCAAGTTAACTACAGAATAACTTCCAGGATGAAAGGACAGACAGCTCACCACATGTTACAGACATAAACTGTAGGAAAGGAAACCCCAAAATCATACAAAAAGTAGACCCATAAACCAGTTATAGACCTCCAGGAGTGCTGCACCAACGACATAGACAGAAGATGAACAGCAGGGAAAGAATACCATGGGGAACCAGCGTGGTGCGGCCGATCTGAGGAACGCTCCATGGGCTCCACTCCTGCCGTCCATCTCCTCGGGCACAGACTCTGAACTGGTAATCAACGTTAGGATCAATGTGCAGCACTATGAACTCCGTCTCTGAGCCGACGTACACGTCTTCAAAGTGACTGGCAGTGCTCTTACGATATTGCAGTCTGTAATCTTGTGGTACGAAGTCATCATCCACCTAGAGAAACATTTCCTACATTACTAAGAGCTGCTCTTGTTTTCCTTCCAGCTCTGAAGCGCAGCGACAGCAC